CTGCTGACTTGGCGCCCTTGGCAGGCCTTACTAAATATGCGTCTGATAAAACGGGCTGCTGTTTCACTGTTCAGAGGGAAAAGGAGTCTCAGGCATTAATATTTCAGAAGTGCTTAAAGAAAGGATGAGGCTGAAGTCCACATTTGTTGCAGTTGCTTGAGCTGATGCACGAATAGTGCACCAGTGTCTTTCGCGTGAAGAGGGGCACCTCTTCAAGCCAGCTTAATCTAAAGATTATTGCAGCTGGTTTGGGCTTTGCTCCGATCCTAGAGCTATGCTGTTAGTAGTAGTCAAGATCACTACTTTCAAGATCTAGGTCATTTTAAAGAAACAGGATTGTGGCTCCTCAGTCCAAATCCTCCGTATTCTCTCCTTTTCCCTTACTTATTTTAAAAACGTAGCAAGGCCAGAGGCTGCACCTTTTGGAAACGTGACTCACATTTGTTAATGGGTTGTTCTTGGGAAGAGCACAGAACTGAAAAATGCCACTAAAAGCATGATTCATGAATGTTAACTCTAAAGGTGAAATCCTGGCTGGCTTTCAGGCAAAGTCAAGCTCCTAAAAGCCAAAATCGAAAAGTTTTTAAATGTCTGAAACTCCTACTAAAGTCTATGTTTTAGCAACCTAAACCCAATTGAAATACAGTGTGATTAAGGCCTCTAAGACACTTTGGGGGTCTATTTCTAAAAAACATTTAGATGACCTGTAGGCAACTTTCTGAATTTTCAAGGGACTATGTAATTTTGAAACTATAAACGCTGACCGTTTTTATCCAGGACCTTAGCAAGTGTCTGTCAGAATGCATGTGTCTTAAGAAAAAAAAAAATCTTTTTGGCTTAATACTCAGCTGATATTATTGTCTTCTCTCGTTAGAAAGGGTCCTCCCCATTTGCAATGAGTCTATTGTTTTAATAGTCCTGTGAAGGTGAGAAAATCATGATGCGAAAAACGGATAAGAGACCGTTTGTCTTTTCTTTCTTTCCTAATGCAGATGCTAAACATCTTATTGATGCAAAAGGGTTGGAGAGAGCAAAATGTGTAAATAATTTAATAAAGAAAAGAATTGTAAGATAGCAATTCACCAGAGTAAGGACAATAGAGTACAAAATGCCATAAAAGATAATAGGCTTATATGAATTGGCATGTGTTAGTGATTATGCAATCTTTCATTTCCCACAGATTTCTTTTTATAGGAAACTTTGGAAAATCCCTAAAGAACTGACCGAGTCATTTAACCACAACAGGTTTCTTTTCAACATGGCTAGGAGTGGGCGATAAATATTTTTCACATATTTATGCATTGATGGCTTGTTCTCTTCCGCTGGCAGCAGCGGCGCTCCATGCCACAAAAGCCCAGAGCCTCGCGCTGAGCAAGTCGCCCTCAAATCACCCGCGGCGTGGAAGCGCGTCGTGCCCCGCTCACGTGGGACGGGGCGATGGAGATCCAAATGGGAACGGACGCTCGGGTAAGCGAGTGCTTCGAGCCCGGTCTGGTTCATGTCTGATGCAACAGGCGCTGGGGAGGCCAAGGAGAGGGATTTCTGTTCCACGAAGTGTTCCCGGTGCTGGGTGGGATGCAAATCCCTCCGGCTTGCAGCTAGCAGCAGAGAGTGAGTTCCTTGGTCCCTGGCAAAATTATTTATTTGTTGCTGTCGTATGCTGCTTAAATACTTGCTTTCTGACAACAGTTTTCCTTCTCCATTAGACTAAGAAAAACAAGAACTTGATGCGGGCTTGCAGATTTCTTAAGGATCCTTCTTACTGTTCCCTAAACAGGTTGTTCTGCTCATCTGCAATGGGTCAGCAGCGGAGCCGCAGCCTCCACACGCGCTCCCTGCCTCGGCGCTGCTGTCGGCGGACTCGCGCCAAGGAGACCGTGACAAGCCCCACGTCCTCCTGGGTCCACCTGGGTGCGTTGCGTAGGGGTGAGCTGTGGAGAGGTGCGGGGAGAGGCATGGGCAGGTTCGTGGTGTTCCTAGGAGGGCCTGAGGCACCAAAATACTGCACCCTGGCTCTGGGTGGGTTCGGCTGTACCTGTCTCATAAGATACTGAAAGCCTAATTTAAGTGATGTTATTCAAACCATCTTATCTGCTTGGTACAAAGTGTTATTCCTCCTTCCATATAAGTGATAATATGAAAGGAGAACAGCTTTGAACTCCATGTTACTTTAAAAAAGTGAAAAATGAAGCTAGTTGGAGGATCTGGATCTCCCTCGTGGTTCAGCGTTCAAGTACGGAATTCTGATGTCTAAGAGATGTCATAAATCAAAGCCACCATCAGGTTGCAGACACCTCTGAATAGCAACTGGTTTATTATTAAAAAAAAAAAAAAAGAAGAAGAAAAGAAAATTGCCCATTAAATCCTGCAAGTGGTTTAAAATGGTCATTAAGAGAATTTGCAAATGTTTACTTTAGCTTAAGTTAGATGGGCACAATTTTGATTAGGGCATGATATTTTTTTAAACTACATTACTAAGCCAGCTATGAATAGTAATGTTTTCATTTTAAAAACACACTCACTCTTTTCACACTTTCAGCGCTCTCCTGTCACATTTTGAACTGCAGCGTCCATATAGGGATGGGAAAAGCCAAGAGGGTGAAGGGATATAGCACAAAGAGAGACTGAGCAGCCCCTTTCCAAAACAGCAACATGTTCACCAAACCCTTCCCCAACACCTAAACAGCAACAAAACTTTGACTGCTCAGCCACCTTGTGCTGGAGGGAGGAGGAGGAGGAGAGGGAGGAGGAGGAGAGGGCTCTCCCCACAGCCACACGTGGTCGGCAGTCACTCGGAGCAAAGAGCTTCGCGGGAATTTGCTTCATTTGCAGTATCTGGGCTCATTGGGGTTGAGTAAATCAAGTTTAGGAAAAGCAGTCAGTTCCAAATGGCTCAGAGCAGAGTTCCTAAAACAGGAAAAATTTCTTGATATTCACATAACAAGTTTTAAAAATTTGTCACTGGCAGAACTCACATATGACTGTCCTCTTCTTGGTTTGACCAAAAATGACTAATAAATTCAGGTGCTTTGGAACCGGTCAGTATGAGAAATAGGCCTCTTGTGCTCTTTATTTTTACTGTCACCACTTGTTTTCAGAGTCAAATCTTCACTTACGTTTTATCGTGTTTCTTACCTCTGTTTCCGGTTTGCCATTAGATGGGATATTGGCTTAGTTGCAGCCCTGCTGCTCTGTGATGTTCAGTAATCACTCAAAGCCAAGGACTCCCAGTGCGGTCCCTGTCACTTAATCTCATTATTTTGTAAATTCAGCCCTTCATAACAAGCCAATCAATTTTCACTTGGCCAGTGTACCTGAAAGATACCGGTCATGCTACCAGCAAAGCTAATATTGCAAGTATTTATTCTAATTCAGGTTTAGGGAGCCCTTGGCAGGTAGCGTTAACCAGCACAACAGTAGTTAGACTGGCACGAAGTGCTACGCAAAACTCGCAGTTAAGCTGGATCGGGTGTCTTTGCCATTGTGAAGATATATCAGGCCCAAGCAAACTGCAAAGCTTGCCTGAAATATTTAACTACAGGTGTAAATGCTGTGGGCTGTGCCACGTGTGGTTTTAGTAAACTGCCCGTAGAGGAGGAGATGCTGCTTCTCAGTAAACCCTTCGTAGAAGTGTGATTCCTCCTCCTTGCACACATCGCTTCACAGCAACTTCTGCACATTGCCTCACTCGCCAGGCTAAGTTTTAACGTCACCTGCAGATATAACTGAAATATTTTTGCAGAAAGAAAGTACCAATACATGGTAAACCCTGAGTTGCCCATTACACACTTTATTAACCAGGGCCTGAACACCAGAGTTACTCTTATAGTTGTGCATTGACTGAGCCGATGAAAGCCTGTGATCTTAAAGTACTGTTAATCGAAGGCAATGAGTTCTGAATAATGTTTATTAACTATGTTTTAATGACTTGTCAGTTTTTTAAAACACATGCTGAAGTATTTTAGAAAGCACTTAGTAAATGTAGTTTTAATTCTTTCCCCATATTCATGGGCTGCTGCTTACTTAAAAAAAAAAAGAGATTAGACGGTTCAGATTTAGAGAAGCAAATTGCTGTGCTAATCTGCAGGTATTTCTCTTCTTGATACGGCCACTAACGTCTAATCTTAGCAACGCAGGCCCAATCATTGTGCTTTTTCATTAGAGCTGCAATGAACTGTGTGCCAGGGACTTGAACTCTGGTGAACAAGCTGCTCCAAGCTTGCAAGCTTTTGTATGAAAATATACTGTGCGTATTAACGATCAAGTCTAAAAAGAACCCGTAAAGTTCATACAAAAGTTGGAAAGTTCACGATATCAGCCCTCTTAGGAGCAGTGTGCCTTTGAACTGCTGCACAGTGCAGTAGTTAGAGTTGGCCAGAAACAAGAATTGTTTCGTGAAAAATTTTGAAGTCTTTACATTTATTTCCATTTCTCATGAGAGAGAAAACAAAAACCTTGATTTTTTTTTTTCTGCAAAAAGTTATGGGGAAAGGCTACAAGGAGAGTCTTCTCTGCCCTTTAGTGAGGGCACCTTCAGTTCAGAGTCAGGATTTGAAGCTAAGCCTCCTGCGACTCCCGAACGTGTAACGCTTGGGAGACTGGTGAGATCCTGGAGCGACTTCCTTTCTGTTCCCTCCTGCTATCCCAAAACTCCATCCTAGATTTGAAAAAATTCTGTCAATGAGATCTTTGTAGAAACAGATGCCTCTCTGATTTGATAAAATTATAATTTTTTGATAAATTGAGTTTCGCTCAACTTATTTTTCCTCGGTGTTCTAGTGGTCATGTTGGGACTGCAATCTCAATGGTATGATGTGCCCTTATGTGACTTACCCTCTCTCTTCTTGAAGCATTTACCTGGAAGGTTTTGGTATAGAGCTGGTTTTGGTATATGAGACAGCTGCCGGTGTTTCTTTCCTCATGAGACAGCAAGTCGCTCTTGATGCAAAAGATGTTCTTTGGAAATCTTAAGAGGGAGGTAAAGTGTACCACCTCAAAAGTATTTCTGAGGTATTTGTGATTGTGAAAGTCTCAATAACTGTCTTTTTTCAGATTTTCTTGTTACTTGAACTTTGCTTTCGTATACTCTAGGATGTATTTCTGTCTGCTGTATTTCTGTGTTTCTATAGCCGTAAGACCATGTGGTCTGCTATATCCCTACTGAGTGCTAAGAATGATCTATTTCCCCTTAGAACAGCCTTCTCTACCTCTTTGGTTTCCCTTTGTCTTTATTTGTCTATTTTTTTTCTTATCTTTATTCTTGCTCATTTCAGGTATGCGTTACTTTAGTTCCTTTCTGAGGAAATTATTGTCATTTTTCATCCTTCTTGGACCCTGATAAGGGGATTGATCTTAAACTTTGAAAACAGTGGTCATTTAAGCACGGACTTTTGAGGCAGTTTAAGCTCCTGATGATTGAAATTGTGAATACAGAGCACAAGAAGCCTTGATCTCAAGATCATGAACCTAATAAGCCTAATCCTCTGCTTTCTTCTTCTCTGCTTGGACCTATGACCCACTATGTAAAACATTTAGGGTGTGGAGGGCATTGAAAGAAATCACCATCACTTTCCAGGACAGACTTCAAAGGAAAGCTCACTTTTCCTGTTGCTTTTTATCTTCCTTCTTTTCCTAGTGTTTACTTATTTTTTTCCATGTTGCCATTCCAATCTCTGCCCACTTTTAATTTCTTTATTAACTTTAATTAGGCTCATGAGCTTGATCACCAGGTGAGTTTTTCCCGAGCTTCCACCGCAACACTTTCCATTAGCAGCAGACTTGCAAGAGGGTGGGTGTGGGTAGGAGATAGGAGCCTAGTGTTATCAGATATGGAGTGTTTCATTGCTAAGCTTATCTATATTTGTATATACATACAGATGTATATGTGTATATCTATATATGTGGTGAATTTGCCAGGAAGTATTATTTATTTGATTACTTTTAAGAAGGCAGGCTTGAGGGCCTCTGACGCGCGAGGTATCAGAGGGCAAATGAGAGGAGGGAAGCACTGTTAGCCGAAGAAATGATTCATACCTCTGAAGCTAACCAAACGCTTGCGTATCTCAGTGAAGTAGAGCCGCATCTTCCAGTTGCCTTTTCTGAGGCAAAGGCAGCATAGGAAAAAAAAGGTAAACATAAAAAAAAATCCCTGGATTCTCTTCTGGAGAATCTCAGAACATATAAAGTTTAGCATTTAGAAGGAGGGTTGGCACATACCTTTTGGACATTTTGTGCATGATTTTCCTGGGCAAGTTCTTACAGCATAAGCTTTTCCTCTGTCAAATGCTAAATAGCATAAAATACGAGCTATCAGGGTGGATTGCAATTTTTGTAGTCTTCATTTTGTGATCATTTACATATTCAGAATCTGCCTTGGGTTTTCTTGTTTTTATTCTTCTTTTAAAACTGCGTTTACCTGAAGAACGGCTTAGTTCTGAGAGCACAAAATAAGCATTTTCTTTGCAGTTGACTTTAATCCTACCAAAAGAATTAGCACTCAGAGCAGAAAACCTTCTTTGGGTCCTACAGGGCATTCAAACGTCTCAGGTACTGGCTGCTGGTTTAATAAAAGGATAGGATTTCCATTTACTTCAGGCAGGCTTAATGTATTGTTCTTGTAGTGAGACAGTCAGAATGAGTCAGGAGCCAAAGAATACACTTTATAGACACAAATAATCGTAAATTCAGAATGTCACCTTTAGGCAGAGGCATTTTTATTATTGTTAGTGGAGCTGCTGAGTAGGTTTGATGTTTTATTCTCTTGAGTACTAAATGTTCCAGAGTACCACAGCCCTATCTTTATCAGGCTCACAAGAAGGGAGCACAGCCAAACTTGCTTCCTATACTTCTCCATGATTGATAGCAGATGGCATGCTTTAAAATAAACCTATCCATTAGCAGTCCTCAGTGTTTTTACTCAAGGCATTTACAACTGTCTCAACCAGAGAACACATTCACTCCGCAAGCTAGTTTCAGTCTGCAACAGCTGTACAGGTGCAAATCTTTCATTAACTCTTAAACAGCAGTGAAATAAATGTTGTGCTGTATTTTATTTTTAGTGGCGAGGTTGTTCTTCAGAGGAGGCGAAACGGGTCCTATTTGCCATTTGCATATGGCAGAGGTTTGTGTTAATAGCCTGCTATTATGTAATGGTATATTTTTTCTCTCATCCTGTAAATTCTGAGGATGTTGTACTACCATAATAAAATGTGGCTATTTATGGGTGTGTGTTCAAAGTGGTCAAATACCAGTATTGGAGGAATTCTAACTCCAGGACTGTGATTCCTGGGGGGCAGCAGCCTCCTGCTTTCCCTCTCCCCTTAGCATCGTCCAGTGTGGCCAGTACTCAGTACAACATGATGGAGGGGAAGCTGTTCCCTCACCTCACTCCTTTATACTGTGGCTATTTTTCTCTCTGGTCTGTCAAAAAGATGCAGGGAGTATGTGTATGTGTGCACACACACAGCAACATGCCCATGCGCACAGATATATATATATATATATGTATATGTATATGTATATATATTCAACCTGATTCAGGGCTTGCTGCTTTTGCTGCTGGTGGGATAGTCAATAAATAAATAATTGCTAAAATCTGTCCCTATATTCAATTTATTTTGCCTAGATTTTTATGTAGTCACAAAAGACGTTAAAATTTGCCTGGCAGTACTTTCAATACAATGAACTCTCAAGCACCTCCCCAAACATTAGTCCACTAGCAGCTAAAGCTTAAAATATTAGTACCAAATCTTTATTATTAGCATTTAGCATTAATATTAGACAAGATCTTAAAATATTAGAGCCAGATAAAAAGTATTAACAGGGGTATAGGAGTCATTAAGCAGAATAACCATCACTGACTAAACGGATGTTGAAACTCTAACATGCAAACCAGCGCAGATGATAGGAATTTCACAGAGACAAGAGGGTCCTTTCATTTAAAAGGAGGTTGGAGAGACGAAGGTTAGGGATTTGAAAGCTAGTAAATAAAACAACACAGCAGGAAAAGTTATATAGAATGTGCCATCTCGTTAGTGGCGATCATGTCCTATGTTATTTTTCTTAAGCTGAAAAGATAAAACAAGAAGACAGGCAATATTCTGTTGCAAATAAATGGAAATTGGGGCATTTATTGTATAAGTCTAAAGTAGCAGGAGAAAAATACAAATGTGCTCTCAGCACTGTAAGCCCATGTAGGGCAAAGTAGGTGCTAAAGAGATTTAGCGTTGTGGGAAATAGCTGGCACGCTCTTTTTCTGGCAGAACAAGCCATGCTGAGGGACCTCGAGCTCGACGCCCATCGTGGTGGGGGTTTCTGCCAGCCCAGGAGCCGTCCTGCAGCGGAGGAGCACCTCAACACGTGTCCATCCTCCTTGGGTGCGTGGGACCCAGCTCTGCGACGGTGCTGAGGACGTGTCCCCATCACAGCTAATGTGAGTTCAGCCCCACGAGCACCTGCAGGACTTGGTGCTAAATGAAATGGTGGGGTGGGGGTAGGTTGCTGGGTAAAAAAAAAAAAAAAAAACAAGGGCAGCTGCACGCATAAGAAGTTTAAGAGCATCAGCACTTGCTTCTAGCTAATCTCTCCTGATGGCTCCTGTAAGCAGGCAAGGCTGGGCGCTCGGCGTTAATTATTCAAAGCCCCGCAATGGTTTTGTGATAGGGTGGTGTAAGAGGATGTGCAGCACTCTGAAGCATCCCCGTTTCTCATGCTGACAGGGGAAAGGAACGGCATGGGATTTCCCCTGCCATCACTGGCCTGTTTCCCCAGAACGGTCATTTCCGACGCCCGTTTTCAAGCGGGAAACTTGAGCCTGAGAAAGGTCGCAGCTGACCCTGGTCCCCGGCTGCCTGGGCCAAGTGAAACCTCACCTGATTTCAGGGTCCGTAAGAGGCTGAGGAGTGGTGAAGCACCCTAGGAAGGCTGCAATAGGGTTATACTGCAAATCACAAAGTATGAGGCAAATGCAACCGGAAGAAATAGAAACCTAGTCATAGGAACACTGTATTCCTACAGGTTCTGTCGGATCTGCTCTAGAAATAAGCATTGCTGTCGTCAGACTAGGTGAATATCTGTGACTAACCTATGTGTCTGCCATTATAACTTCATTTCATTACAGCAGATAGCAATCATTTCATTACAGCTTTTGGAATTACTGATTGACATTTTGTGAAATTGGCTTTCTGCTTGGAGTTGAGGACCGCTCACACCCACACGGACTGGACCATTAGCTAGGAGCTGGGAGTCTCAAACACTTGACTTGCGCGTTACGCTTACAGATGGCTCCTCTATCTGCTGCTTCGGGTCAGCCCTCACTATAGGGGAAGGCATACATAGAATATTCCTGATGGGATTAGCAGCTTTCTGAAGAAGAAAAATAACCGTACAGCTTAATTCTACAAATATACAGAACTCTGTGGGTGCATAGTTTGGTTGCCACTGACTTCAGTGTGGCTATTTCCAGGAGTAGAGTTGTGCAGCGGCCTAAATATCTACAGACGTGAGGCATTGGCAGAAGCTGTCCTTATAGATATGCTCCTCCAGCAAGGCAATGAAGCATTTGCTTATTTAAATGAGAGAAAGTCACATTCAGTCTTAAAGGTAAGCATATCCTTATGCACTATATGAGCTAGAGGGGGTGGGGGGCAAACCCCACAATTTATTATGGTGCCACAGATTGTTTAGGGACTTCATAGTAATAATTCCATTTAGTAAAGAGAAAAAAAAAATCCTTCTATTGCCTCTCCAAACCCTTTATTTATTAATGACCTAGAAAGATGTGATGTTATTAAGAACTGGAGAAATTTTGTCTGGACACAATCCAGCGCACCCTAAACTGGTGTCTGCTCCCATAGTAGCCACTTTTTCTGAACAAAGCAATGAGTTCCAGTCCCATCAGTGAGTTGATAAGTATTGGAGGGGAGCCAAGGAGGGTGAGGAAGGAAAGGGGCTACACTTTATCCCCACTACATTTGGCCTTACTGTGGATAAAATGGATTTCTGATGCTGGTGTCCATGCCATGGCAGTGTTGCCAGTAGTAAATTTTTGCTTGCAGTAAGGAACAACCCTTCCCTACCTACCCCCAACTTCCTTGCCAAAACTAAACTCAGCTAAAATAAATCATATTTTAGGAAACTAATTATGCAGCCAAATAACAGAAAGGTATTGAAAAACTGTTGTATGCCTAACATTAAATGAATTTACATTGGCAGTAAGGAACACGTACTAAAATTAAATATAGTAACATGGCAAAAGTGTAAGCAAATGGAATTTAAACAAAAATGTGATACAGAGCATTGGGAATGGTATTCAGACCTATTACAGAACTTATACTCTTTGCATCCATTGCAAAAAGCTTTCACATTTTAAATCAGTTCTGAATGAAATTTGCTGTTTTGCCATTTTATCGTATTTCTTGGAAAACTGAAATGTATTGGAATAGCTTTTTTTCCTCCAAAACTGTTTTACCAAAGGACTGCCTAAGTCACTTCACCACCATTTGGGGTGGAATATAAAACCCATTTCGCAATCCCTAGGTACGCTGTGACAACAGTTTAGCAGAGGACGTGATGACGAGGGCATCCAGCGGAGACGGCTGGGAGCTTTAGGGCCCAAAGCAATTCCCACTGGCGTCGATGGAAACGTTTGCAGTACCTTCAGCAGCTGCTGGATCAGGCCTTAAAGAAGGTAGATGCCATTGTGCAACCTGAAATTGGGTCAGTTTTGCTACCACTGGTATTTTATCGTTGTGCAAGAGTTCTTGTGCAACTGTAAGGTCAGGATCTGAGTTTCGCGTCTTACCTGATGACAAATCCAGCAGAAAAATGCCCAGAGGAGCCGTGCTTGGGCACTGACTCAGAGCGAGACCCACTGTCTTCTGACTCACTGGCTGCTCCTGAAACCCGCAGCTTTCCTGGGTGATCTTCGACCGATATCTAAGCAAGCGCAGCGTGTGAGCTGTGATCGAGAGGATCTCAGCCTGTATCTTCACTGTTGCAAAATGCAGCTTTGTATAATTTTTCCTGCAACAACAAAAAATGTCCAGTGTTAAGACTTCTCAGAGGTGAGTCTGTTTCCATTTTACCTGCTCTGCTCGCCTTCCCCGACAGAGACTCCACCTCTCCCTCTGCTATTCGGTGAAGAGCAGCTTGAGGCCGGGAGATGATGTCAGCTGAAAAAGCAGGTACAACCTAAACAGAAGCAATCCATTAAGACGAGAGAGAAGGAAGAGAGAGAGAGAGAAAGAAAAAAAAAAACTTTTGGAGAAGATTTTAAAAGTTTCCTGATGGATCAGCATCCTTGAGATTAAACATTCCCATATGTAAGTTGACATTTTAAAATGTAAGTCTTATGAAAGATAAGAAGGAAATTGTGAGAAATGCAACCTTAAATATTTTGAAGCATGACTTCCTGTATTATGTGGCAGTTGGCAAAACTTTCAGGGAAAAGATGCACGCCTCAAAATCCACACGGTGTAGTGCACTTATTTGCCTAAAATTTTCCTCCTGTTCCTTAATGTTTTCATGTTCTAACTCTTCCACACCTTTGGACTAGAGTTGCAGTATCATTCGAACGTTGCTTTTAATCTCTCGGACAGATGTTTTAGATCAATTGCTCAAAATGGATCGGTTTAGCAGTCAGAAAACACTGTCAAAAAAGATTTGTTGCAAAGAAGACAAAACCGTGAAATAAAATTGAACTTTTATCCCCATTTGGATGGGAACTGTGCTCGCCTGGGGATCCCAGGGGATGAGCACAGTGGCCTATCATGTGTTGAAAAAACAAACAGATGACAGGATTCTGCAGTAATCAAGCAAAAGCTGCTTCCGAGAAATCGTGTGCTCACCATTGTTCAGTGCTGCAGGACCTAAAAAAATATATAGTTATTGAAGAAAGGAAGGTGACCTTGTGACTGAAGCTAGGGAAGACTAAAAATCCACTGCCAATAGCTCTGAATTCTTCCAGGCTCTGAAGAGCCCACAGTTTTCTTGTAAGAAAGGTGTGAAACACACAGCTCTTAGTGAAGCAGCTGAACTTTATTTTCTGGCATTGTTCAGAATTATGAAAGATTAACACACTAGTGGTGGTGGGTGTTAGTATTTCCTGGCTGCAAAAGCTATTCTTACGGTACATCTTTTTATTTCTGAAAAGCCATGCAAATAAGGCAGTGTCACTAACATGAATAGCCACAAGCTTCTTGCAGCCGATTAATAAAACAGAGATGGCTCTTTCCAGTGCCCAGGGAGGACAACCTGAACTTCCTGGCACAACACAGTGTTTTTCTGTCTCTCACTAGATACGTGTCAACAGAAACATCTAAATGTGCTTGTTCGAGAACGCTTTTTTGGTTATTTTGTGTCCTGTGATGCCCTGCTCGTATGCTCAGCTGGATCTCCACTTGGCACCATCTTTTGGTCTAATCATGCTGCAACGCAGCAGTGTTAAGTACCTATTTTGAAATGACAAATGTTCCAACAAAGGGCTATGTTTCTGCCTCATCATCACGGCTTTGTCCTCCATTTCTTTGCTCAGGCATGTAGTTCGCTTTTCAGTTTTGCTATACTTTGTTCTGGGTGGTTTTGCAGAATGGTGGCTTTGCTTGCTTGTCTCACTCTACATGCCTCCTGCTGGATGAGTTTGCATTGTGTGGTGTTTTCCTCCTCATTTATTGCAAACAAATCTGGTCTCTGCCATTTGTTTACTCGTATACTCTGTCTTTATGCCTTGGTATGCATTTTTAATTAGATGCGCTTCAGTTCTTTCGCTGCTTGTTAACACTTTCATATGGGAAATACACTTTCCACTAGCCCTGCAAGCATCCTCTTAGGAAATTCATATTTGTTGCTCATGTCCACGGTTATCATCTGGATCACAAGTGATACAGAGACTTGTTCTCTACCTGGCCTGTCTGCTGGGTTTCTAGATTCCCATCGAGCACTTTTAAGGTAGAATGATATTTGCCTCATCTTTAAAGTTCTCCTACCCGAGCAGGCTGATCTGAATGCCCTTTTTCCACTTGAAAATATTCTGCCTAGATGGAAATAATGTTTTGGCTATTTGTCCAGGCTGTTTCTGGACCTCAGTAACTCCCGTTAGGATGTCTGATATCAAGAAGTCCTGCACAAAGTATTGTAATGTATTGTAATGAAATTATTTTGCACAAATATAGTAAATCCAAAAGATCAGGAATGCATCGGGTTAGCCATGAAGACATTGGCCATCAGTTCTGTGAATGGAGGATGGCTGTGTCTGGGTAGGAATACTGGAGACCTAAACACATGACAGCTTTCAAAAAAGGCCTCTTTCCTGAGTGCCACTACCGTTAAAGCATCAAATTACTTTTGTTTTTTTTTAATAGTTTGAGCACGTTTGTGATTCCACTGTTATTTCTTCTGCCTCTAAATCTGACTCATTCCACAGGCACAGGACTTCACCCTTTCTAGCTCTCTTCTATACCATTAGCTTTCTGGAAACGACGTGGGAACTGGAATGGGAAAATTTGACCCCTCTCCACTCTTTCATTCCCCTTCTGTCCACTAAACATGCGCTCTCCTTTTTTTGCCTGAACATGTATATTCCCCAGAATTTAATACCCTGGGATGAACTGAAAGACTAAAAAGAGGTATTTTAGTCTCGTTTTGTCTCAGGCATTCTTCTCTGACCCCATTCTCTGGCTGGGGGCAAGGTTGCCAAGGGTCAATATCCACTTCACAGTGGAGAGAGATCAATGTCTGCTGAAGCCAGTGCCTAGTTTTACTCCCTCTCCCTCACCAGTGATATATTTCACAGAGAGGAGCCAAGAAACTTTTCTTCTCCCTTCCAAGAAGAAGGAAAAAAAAAAAATCTTGTCTCCACACTTGCTCCCACCAGGAGGGCATTGTATTTGGCCTGTGCTCTGTTTTCTGTTATAAATTTGCATGGCGTGACTGTGTGCTTTGGCTTGCACTGCTGCCTGGCTGCGGGGCACTGCCCGGCGTGCCCGAAGCTGCCCCCCCTGGCAGGGAGGAGAGGTCGGGGCAGGCCCCTCCGGGCGCCGCACCAGCACCTGGAGCCGCGGCGCTCGGCCCCGGGGCCCGAAAGTCTTCATGAGGCTCGCAGCCCTCCTGAAGGAGACCTCGTTTGGCATTGCTCAGGGCTACGTTTGCACTTGGACGGCGCTGCTTTGGTACGAGCTCCTTGGGAAAGCGTGCTGGTGGCCCAAGTGAAGAGCACCATGATGGGCTCAGCCTTGAGCCCGTGAGAAAAACCTGCGGAGATGAGCTGTGTGAACTAATAGGTCTCTTCCACTGCTAACTTCTATTCTAAAATAAACCTTTCTTCCTGCTTTTAGACACAGCGCCAGCCGTTCCTTACCCTGCACACTAGACCTAGCTTTCTTTTCTTCCTTTAGCTTAGCGGAGAAGCCTTTAAAGCAAACAAACAAAAAACTGTGAGAAACAGAGGGAAGATACGGACTGGCCCACTCATTAGTGCTGGAATGTGGAAACTATGAAGACATCTTTTTTTATTACCAATGCTGGAAAGCACAGTCACTGAGTGGGCTGGAATACAATTTATACTACATGCAGTAGTTAAAAAAACTGCAAAAATGGGTGTAACCCTGGGCTGTGGTACAACTGGCCTTTCAGCCCCCACTTGAGATTCGTATGTCCCAGGGGGAAACTGTGGTTTGGAATAAGAGCGTGCATTTAATTTCTCTCGGAGAACTTATTGGAGTTGGCACTTCAAGAAAGAATCTGAAGTATATTTTTTGTAATGATTAGTGGCCCCCTGACCACTACGTTTGATTGTTTTGGAAACGGAAAAGTTAAATTCTTATAAAATAATGATTTACAATTCATGATTATCCAGGTAGGGTGCACAGATTCCGCCAACTTGGTCATGGGACTCAAATCTCGTCCTAGCTCATTGCTGTGAGAAAATAAAACTAAAATGTGAAAAAGCTGAAAACACATCCTCTGATTGCTCAGGGAATTTTCTTAGTCATACGTTATCTTTCCTAGTAGTTTTAAGTTATTTTGTCTCCACTAAAACCCAAAGCAAAACACTGCCCTAACACTTTCCCCTTGATTTCTGATCTAGAGCAGACAAATTTATTTTTATCTTGTGTCGTCTTTTCCCCTATGATTATGCAAATCCTAGGAATAGGGGGCAAGGGGAAGAGCTAATTTTAAAGTAAGTAAATTCCAGTTGAAGATTGCTTCAGTTGCTCTGATTAGGACTATCCTGGGTGCTGTTGTAAAGATGTGGCTACCTCCAAATAGAACAGGGGTAGGTGCCAAGTGGGGAGGTTGAATATTTTCCTTGTAGACACATAACTTTACCCACAGGATTGAAGGTTTTTTGCCTTAACGTTCTGTTAAACAGTTCTGGAAGTACAAAACTGTGTCTTAAGAAACACACGTTAGTGAAATGCATCTCCACACAATCAGTTGCTGAAAAAAATGTCTGCGGGGAGAGGTTTTGGGGGCAGGCGAAGGGTGGGGTTAATGAGAAATATCTTAGAGAAAATATGGGGCATCAGCACTTCATTATTCCTTCCAGCAATCGTCCTCTGTTTTAGTTAACGCTTGCTGTATTTTGATATACTTTTTCTTTCTTGCTTTTTTCCCTGGCAAGGAAATCATTTTGAAACAGTAAATTTCACTTTCTTTCTAATCTCTCTAGATTTTTTTTCTAAATACAACTTTGCCTTGAACCTGTTTAATCCCGTTTTTAACTCTAGCGTACAGCCGTTAATGCACGATGGATTCCCAGGCTGAAAATCCCGTACAGGCTACACTGGACTCTGCTTTGTGAGTGTGCAAGTGTGTAGATGCAGGTGTAAGAACTGTAACCAAAAACGCTTTGTTTATTAAAAAAAAAAAGTAATACATATATATAATGCCTTATAAAAGAATTGAACAGGATCAGAATCTACGGTACGTGTAACAGGTGAGAGTGAGTGCTGGGTTAGGCGGTGCACGCTGCGGTCACCGCCTGGAGTTGCGTTGAGATTCTCTTTGCTCTTCCTTCGAGCACCACTGCGGTACTCCTTGCTGCAATGGATTAATTGGAGTAATCTTCCGTGGGGCGTGGAGTTTCTGCATCCAGCAAAACTCGTAAGTACCTCCTGGTATCACGTGGCAAGGGGCTGTAAATGCATCTTTAAATACCACCTAAAATTGGGAGGAGTTTAAATAGCCATTTAAGGCCTTTCTCTGTTTTGGAGCGTGGGAGGTAAGGATGCAAATATTTAAGAAAATGAAGTAATTTAGGTGCAAGAGCCCAGATTTGGAAAATTTGGCCCACGAAATGCACACACTAAGTGTGTCTGCGTGTTTGTGTCTGTGTAAGGTAACAAAATTCACTAGTCGTTTGGATTAATCTCTCAAGTTACTGTGGGGGCGTGTTGCCTTCACATTCTCCTGACTTGATTAAGTTGCATTTGAATTTATGTCTCAGTCTTGCAACTTAATAAACCTACACAGTTTAAAACACATGAGAAGGACTACAGGGTTTGAAGCATAAATTCTGTCCCCTGTTTTGCAAAGCACCATGCACACGTCTGAGGCTCCTTAAGGAAAAGCTGACCACGTCCCATGTCAATCTGAGACTGAACTGGACAGCTGAATGCCAAAGTAAGTAGACAGAATAAATAGACTTGCTTCAGATGTATGTTTGAGTGTTCTTAACCTAGATGCTCTCTTTCAAATATTCAGTTCATTTGTGAGCTGTCTGGAAGCAAAGTTTTAGGTCAAACTTTTGGACTCCTCTTGATCTGGCCAGAAATTAGAACACACCAACCGTTGCACGTAATCAGAAAATGCCGTGTGAAAAGGAAGATTGCTACGAGTAGCATCTTTGCTAGATTCCAGCTAGACCAAACTAGTTCCATGCTGCTCGAAGACTGAGCTCACTGGTCTTATGACTATGTGTGCAGTCTAAATTGATTTCTGAGCCCAGCTAAGGGAAAGATTTCTCCTCTTCTGCTTGGCAGAAAGTTTGCAGTTTAAAATTACATACTGACTCTGGTGTAGAGACACAAGAAATTATAGAGCAGACACTGTCCAGGACAACGTATAATTTAAAATGTACTAAAGAATGTATACCACATGGCAAAGTAAGTGAAGTGCTTCTTCAAATATAAGTGTTTTGCATAGAAAGGCTGTAATTATCCACTCCTAGGGAAATGTTTGCATTCATTCTAAATCAATATTTACTATTCATCTCTTGTGTTCAACAAAACAAGGATTTAACATTTTTTTGTTTTAATGAGGTACTAAGACTACAATAATACTACAATGTAATTGTCCTGATACAAAATATTGCTAAATTGTGTTGCTATTTTGGGAGCGAGCAGTTTTTAAAAGGAAGGGTATCCCTATTTGTGAAATGTTACTTCGGTAACATACAATTCAAACTCAGCCAAGCAGGGAGACTCACCGGTTGCGAAGAGAAGTTAAGCCGTCTCTCTGCTAAGGCCCTTAACTAGGATCATTCGGGTGAGTCTTCTCTCTCTCCCCCGAAAATACGAACCTCTTTATAATGATTCCTTTTCAGCTGGTGTCTCAACACCACCACCGCCACAGATATAATTTCTTTTTCTGGTTTTAAGATTTTTTTTTTCCCCTCAGCATCTTTCAGCTAGACAGCAGAAGACAGTAGTGAAGGATGTGCAGTAATTGGGCCAGATCCATGTCTGCACGCTGGTTTAAGCCTGCCTGAACTTCTCCCTCTCAGCAGAATTTGGGGGTTGTTTTGCAGGACGATGCTGGGGCGCTGCCCTTTATCGTTTTAAAGGGACTAATCTGCCTTACAGATTCTGATACGTTACCTGAGGAAGTCAAAGTGAAGGAAACAGTCCTTTAAAAATTGTGCAGAGCTGCTGTCAGTTATGGAGGCAGAAGACCAGTCCTTCCTGCCGCAGGATCCTGGTGACAGGGGTAGCAAGTGAGCGTATCTTTAAGAAGCGTGGCAAAATGGTAATTTTAATCATAGTTTGCAAAACTGTTATACTATGGTTAAGAGGATGTCCTCACGCTAACTAATCTTCTTTTCGAATTTACCTGGCATGTCTTAAGAGCTATTTCCCCAACTTTAAAAAAAAAAAAAAGAAGAAGAAAAAGAAAAGAAAAACCCAACAAGCATGCATTTTTGGCACTGCTGTGGGTCCATGTGAATCAAATCAGATAACTGGAAACACTTTAGTTGGAAAATCCTTTAAAATCCTTTTTTTTAATCTTTATTTTTTATTCTTACATGCTGCCCACCATATTCCAGACTGTGGCCCACCCTTCGCAACACTAAATGCTTCCACTTCTGCTGCTATAATTCATGATATAAAAGTAGGCTCTTGAGTGAATTTCAGTCTTGTACTCAAGCAGATAGTTCTGTATTTTTTTCCTATGAGTCTGAAATCATTCTTGTTCTCCAAGAAAGTCATGCACATAAATAGGGTGAATAGCCCTGCAAGAAGAGCAGTCTCTTTCTCTAGCAAATGTTATTGTAACTGGTGTTTTAATTCTCTAGATATCACTCACTCTGTGTACAGGGTAACAAAAGGCTATATAGTGCCTAATCATTCAACAGTGATCTAGGGAAAAAGCAGAAGGTTAAGAGCAAGTTCCTAAAGTCTGTAAAATCAATGGGACACTAGAAAGGGAACTGAAGTGTACCAGAAGGGACCTCTTGAGGGTCATTAAAAAAAGCAGAAACTGATTATGAACAGAGCTTTTACCCAAAGAACTGGAGAGGGCCAGCAAAACCATTCTGCCGCACTCCAGTTAAATGTCTAATAGTGTAGACATTTTCTGCACAGCCCATAAAGGATAATGAGGATGGCTTTGATGGCTTTCAAGAAAGTTGTTCTTGTCAGCGTTCACAAAAACATGATCTGAGCACGCACTCCCTGAGCATGCAGCGTAGGGTGGTTCTACGTAGACAAGGGAAGAGGGTAGCCACATCCTGTACCTTTCACCTCTGTAATACACCTTAGCTATTATGCATGAGAAAAATTGCATCCACCTAACGATAGGAGGCAAACAGTAAAAACTTGATGCTTGATGTTAAAGACTACCAACTTGGTATTCTCACCTTGCTGTGGCGCGGCATATGTAAAGAGGTGGGAATGTTAGGCGATTTTGCATACGTTAGACTTGATTCTTATCTCTCTCACTCCAGAATGAATGAGAAATACTGTTTTGACCTAAAGCTTATCGAAATCTATCACCATCAGCAAAGTTTGGATTAGAACCTAATAGCTTTCTGCTCCATTTCTGTGCTGGGAAAGCAGCCCGCTGAAAGCTTGAAACATGGCACTGGCAATAAGGATGTTTGCTGTCTTCCCATCTCTGACACTGATTTTCTGTATGATTTTGTGTGAGTCACAGCTTTGTTGTGATTCATCGTCCTGAAGAGAAAAATTAATGTAATCGTGCTTTTGTATGTTACTCGAGTGCTCTGAAGGTGATTTGTAAAAAATAAAAATTGAGAAGGTGTTTTAGAAGTTCAGGGTTTCATTGGTCTGAGTTAGTATATCAGTGCTGGCTAAGGACTGAACAGCTATTTTAGACCGTGTTTCTACCCATCATTTGGGTCTGGATTTTACCTGCTGGATCAGGCCTTCTTGAGGAGCAGGAGAGCACCACAGCTGTCTCGAGCCTTGTGCCTCCTAGCATGGCTTGAAAAGTGCTTCAGCTCAGGATCGCTTTGACAGAAACAGCGAGCACGGCTCTCTCTGAGTACTGTCAGAGATCTGTACGCGGTCATGATGAAGGCTACCTTGGTAGGTAGGATGCTTTTCAGTTTTGCTTTTGGACTATAAGGCAATTATGTTGGGAAAAAACATCAGAACCCTTTCTAGTAAGAATTAATTTTATGCGGTCTTTTGTACTTTAGAGGAAACAAACTTTTTTTTTTCCTGAAACAGACATTCACATGGATGAACTGAATGTGAGTCAGTCTAACAGTTGTAAAGCAGAATTGTGTAACTTCTGTGTCATTGCTCTGTGATTCCAACATCTTCAATTAATACAAAAATGCAGGAAATTCAGGTGGAAGGAATGCGTGGAAATTGAAGTCAAAAGAAAATATTTGCTGTGGACTTGGCAGAGCAAGTTCTCTAAGCTGAAGTAGCTTTTAAGACATTAGAAGCTACAGAGTACAATTACCAGATGACACGCAGCCCAGGCGAAGCGCTCCAACAGCCAGTGGCCATCTGGATTTTGGGGTTTAAAAAAGGCACACCCTGTCTGGCTGTCACCTGGCTTGTGAGACAGACCTCCATCTGCCCTGCCTGCTGCTGGTAAGAACATGGTCCACCTTGAGTCATAGGCAGGGAAGCCTGTTGGACGATTCCTCTGCACATGGGAAGTCCAAAGCCATCTGTAGTCACCGGAAATGATTATTATTGAAGACTTTGGCCTTTGAATTGGTGCATTGCCCCCAATTTTCAAAATGAAGTTGCCCAAGTAGGATCCACTTTTGAGCCATGAGTAGCTTAATATACACCAGCATCCGTTGCCTGGGGCTTGGGAGCTGAGGCATCTGAAATTAGACATACAACATCAGCTCTTTAATGGAGAATCTTGCCAAGACACTTCTGTATTTTTCTTTAAGTGCAAAGAAATTTTCCTTAAAAGTGATAAAGGCTATCAGAGCAAAGGATGGAGACTAATTTCCTGAAGAAATCCTGTTTTTAAAGTGAAACTATAGTTTAGTTTGTGAAATTCAAAGAGTAAAAAATAAAACCAACTGACAAACAGTTTCTGACTATTCTGTATCTAAAAATGGGCCTACCTCATTTAGTCTATTTAAAAATTGTGTATCCATACCGTTTGTTTGCCAAGTTCAGCATGATGGAAATGAAAATGGTTGAGGTATAAACCCTTGAAAAACAGGGTTTATAATGGAAACAGTAATTGACTCTTAACTACCGCATCAAAAATACAATACTATAATACAAAGCCTAACTCTTGGGATCCCAGCTCTGCTTCTAACCTCAGGTTGGCAGGCAAACACCTCACCACAAAGCTAACTAATGTTTATAGTTTTGATTTTTTTTTTCTTGCAAAAGAAACATGGCAAGTGAAGAAAATTTATAGGAGCAAAGCAAAGTTGGCCAACAGTTCAAAAGTTCTCTGCTGTAAGTTTTTGATGTTTTTCCCAAACACTAGTTCTCTCTCAATTCGAAGACTAAGAGGAGATGCTACGCTTCTCCTCTGGATGAACACTATATTTTCTGTAATAATTTTATATCATTCATGAAGCTTGAATCATAACTGACCCTTCATCGCAGCATTACAAATAGTTTGACTGCTCCAGCAAAGGTCAGAAATCTTGTTTTCCTGAATGGCAAAGACAAAAAAGACTAATTTCTTTACAGCTGTTGACTTCTACCTTCCATACATGATGACAAATAGCATAACAGAGAGGAGAAGAAAAGTGATTCTGCTAATGGAGAAAAATGAATATTCCATTGATCTTATTACAGACGTGTCACCTTTTGCCTAGTCTGGACTGGGGTGCCACTTTTGCTTTTGCTTATGGTTGTCATGAGATCTTGGAGTTTTGATTTATCCCGAAAGTACCAATCCAATTTGAAAGTCTCATTAGAAATTGCAAACTGTGGAAAAGCAGGAAGTTCATCAGGAGAACTAACATTCTGCTATTACTGAATAAGATAGACCTATTTTCAGAAAAATGAAATAAAACTGAATACCAGCAGATTTGTCTGCATTAAAAAAAAAAATCATTCATTTGAATGGAGTAATTCTACTGAGCTGATAGTGCTTACAGTAGTTTAAAATTTCTTGCTTCTCCTTGCATCAGCAGTGTATCAAGTTCATATTTTCATAGGTAATGAGGAAAAGCAGAGGACACAGCAGGAGCATTTTCTGTCTATAAATGGCTTTAGTTCAGCTACAGATTAAAAAAGAATTGCAATTGCTTCTCTTTTCTTTAGGTATTGAAGATGACATATAGCCATAAACTTAAATCACTGCTAAGCTACACCTTCAAGTCTGCCAGCATTGGTTGCCACACTCAGCCAGTGAAAAGGGGCAGCAGAGAGGCTCTGCTGAGAAGGAAGGGCTGAGCTCAGGGACCCCCAGCTCAGCGTCCGAGGAAGGACAAGGACATCAGTGGAGCTATAGGTTCAGATCAGTGTCTGCTAGAGGCCTCCAGTGCTGCTATCAAAGCCACTTTCAAAGCTAATAAGGCAAGGTACTGGATATTAGATTACTTTTTATTTTTGAGCTTTTGAAATCCAGACTTTCCCAGACTTTTCCAACTCCTGCCACTGTCCATATCTTTATGAAGGGAGTGGGTATGCCAAAGCAATAAAAATACATTGTACATTTATTCTTTCTTTCTATAGCTTCTGAGCATGTAGAAAAGTCTTGTAATAGATGCCGCTGTGGACATCAGCTGTAATGGTGGTTGTGATCATACCAACTGGGTGCCCAGGCTGAGCAACCCAAAGCTCTGTTGAAGATCACTGTTAATGCATAGATACATATTCAATACCAAGAAAATAAGTAATGGATATTGTAACAATATAATCTACCTGTTCTTTGGTGAGTTTCCCGGTATTGTTCTCATGCTGTTTTCCTTCTCACTGTTAGGCATTGAATACCCTTCATTGCAAACTGTCTTGTTGATGTTAGTGTGAAGAAGATCTTAGACCTAACGCAGAACTTCAACAATGAAGTTCTTTTTCCTGGGATGAAGGCAATTTACCTTTACCAGCATCAGTCTTTATTCAACTACAACTCTATTTAAAAATGATTGGGAAATTGCCAGTAGAAATACCAAATAAAGACTCCAAAAATTAGCCCTGTATAATGAATGATTTATGATTTATACTTTAAACTACATGGGCTATGCATTTCTATTTAGATTTTTAAAAATAAGCCAGGAAAAAGCAACAATAGCTTAGCAGAAAATGCATATAGTCATTGGAATGCCAGTAGAGTCTTTGGCAAAGGATCAAGTAATGATAAGGCTTGACTCTATAGGGATATTAACATTTTTAAAGCAATCAATGTGAAATAAATCTGCGAATGTATGTTTAAATTATGAAAAACTACAGCATGAATATGCATTTTGTAGCTAACTGCTCCCTGTTGTTTTGGGCACTTGTCCTGCTTTGGTAAGATTTTTGAGGAGGAAAAACCTGTCGAGAGTGCAAGCTACATTTCAAGTCCTATTTTAGGTGATTTGCAGTCATGGATTTCCATGCTTTTCTTATCATTTTTCTTTGATTTGCTTTCTTAAGGGTATTATCCAGCTCAGCTTGGCACAGTTCAAGTTCACAACTGCAACCTTTTCCATGACCCAAAAGTCAATGCCACTCTGTGGGTTGGCAGTTTGCAAATAAAACATATCCTTAATGAAGTGTGGAAGCTCCTGTTCTTTTCCTTCCTCAGGAGACGTGCCTTAATCTCTGGCTCAGAGCCTTGTCAAATGCTGCAGTAAAGAACTGGCAAGCTCAATGCTGCTAATGGATTGAAATCTCCACCAGGTTGTTCATTTCTTGAGTTTTATTTATTTTTTTTGTTCTGCCTCTTTTTTCTAAGTACTGCAACAACTACAGCGCCACACCACTCCTCAGATTTCTGTAAAGATTGTTTAGGGACTTCAGTGACAATTTTACAGTACACATAAGAGAGCTACTAAAACATACCAAGGATTTGGTTGCTTATGTAGGTCAATTATTAAGGGAAAAAATAAGATTAAAACCAGGGGCTGTTTCGTGGATTTGAAGTTCTTCCTGAAGATATATGACTGTGGTGTTTATGCTTATAACTTGTGACAGGTTCTCCAAGTCATAGGCGTTTTGTCTCTTATGTAGTAGAAGCTGAACGCATTTGGATTTTTTTTTTTTTTTGCCAGAAGGTAACCATAAGCTAGCAAATCACATGTGAATTGCTCAAAAATGCTAAAATGCAATTTTAGAAATTTTGATAATCCTTGTTTTTTTCAGAATACAATCGACTAATATTGGGATTAGGGTAGATCTCACTAGTTTTGACTTAAAAGGAGAAAAGTCTGCACTTTGCACAATTTGAATCTTTTTTTCTTGTCATAGAAATATACTATGTAAGCTCAGTTTATCTTTTCTAACAACACTTGTTTCTGTGCAGCTGAAGAAAATCACTTTGCAGAATTTACCTCTTTGCAAAGTCATTTTGACAGGGGTCCAGAGTGGTCTCAGTCAGAGTTGAGAAAGGCATGCATGTTTCCCGTGTGGTTTCCTACCACCTGGATTACAACCTGTTGTTTCAAAATTTGCAAACTTTTACCTTGGGAAATGAAAGAAACAAAGAAAGGAGAAAGAGCCGTTATCCAGTCACTCATGCTAGGGGCAGGAACATGTGGTGTTCCTTTAATTTCTGTTAACCTGGTTCTGTCAATGTCAATAACTCCATGACGTCCTAGGAGGGGAAAAAAACTTAGGTTGATGGGTAGAAAAAGCAGGTTAGCGCTAAAACGTTATCAAATAATGTATGTGAGTTAGCACTGAGTATTCCCTTTCATTGTGCTGGAGACTTGCTGGTGTGATTATGTTCATTTGAAACATAGAGAGTCCTCGAGAGAAAATAGGCGACTTTCCATTCTGCCGATGGATGGAAGGAAATGAAAAAGATGGGTTTTCGTATTGCTGCCTTTTTATATCTATGTTCTAGTATGTTCCTGGAGGGAGCTTGGTGCAAATTATCTCCTGAGCAGATGGGAAACCATGATGGTACACTGCCTCAGTGCAATTTTTGTCTTTTTGGCCTTTTCAGGCAGAGCTGTAGTTGTTAGGTTCTTCCAGCAATGAATTTGCATACACTCCAGGCAGGTTTATGCATATTCAATAAGCACCTGTAAAATACAACGCCTGTATATAAACACATTTCTCAAAAGCTCATTAATGTTAGGGCTGGGTCCTCATCTGATGTGAATCACTAAACAATGGCTAATAACCTGGCCAAGTGTATGTAAAACACTTAACCTAAGTGAAGCCTGCACTTTTGCCAAATCGAAATGAGTCTACGCTTGCATTTAAGCTGATATGTTCAATAGAGCTTCTGTGCATCTACGGGAACTATCAAAATAGCAATGTAACTAATCTTCTTGAAATATTTCCATCAGCAAGGAACTGCTATGACCTGTTATAACCTCATGTCGCATCATTTCTGCCCCTTAAAGGATTGCATTAAGGCGAGCACGCGTATCACGCCCATCCATACACCATCGCACATAGATGGTCTAGAACCCACACCTCATCTCAGCAGCTGCCTGTGTTTCAGGTTGCTTAAAAAAATAGCTTTGAGCTGCTTACCTAAAGCAGTTTGCAAACAGTAAAGACAATGGTTAGATTTAGGGTAAGAAAGGGAACATAATTTAAGAAACGGTCAAGCAGTGATGTGGATGTGTCATGCCAGTTCAGTGGTTTTCTAGAGAAAAAAAAAATTGTAATCCGTTAGACTATCTTTTCTTATGAGAAGGGACTAAATTTTATATTGAAAAAGTGTATTTCCAGAGTGATTTGAAAGAAGAGTGAAAAGGCATCAGAGTCCTAGCAAGGAAAAAGCAATTTGTTGAGGAGTTTGGAAGCTGCATCGGAGCCAAGGTTCAGAGATAGGAATGGCGTGAGTCCTCCAGAGTGGGAAAGCCTGGAAAAAGGTGAGAGTAGAGAGATTAAAAACTAGTTTATTCAAGAATTGGAAGGATGGAATAAAGAAATTACATCTAAAATGAAGGGAGAGGAAAGGCCTGAAGGTGCTGCTGGAAGCTGATTGGATTGTTTTGCTGCAGAATTTGGGATGAATTACTGTGGACCGTGGACCGTTGAAGGGTATCATCATACAGTTTTCCTCCTCTGCCTGCACAGACCTTGATTAGTGGTAAAGGCCCAAAGTGACTAAGGCACATTTTAATGTAAGGCCTCCACTTGTAAATCAATATTTGAAATAAATGGTTTTAACTGTTCATTATGGAAACTTCATTCTGAGAATAATTATAAGTCTAAAAGTGAAAGCGAGATTTAAGTCCTGTGTTGGTCTGCAGAGATTTGGCAAGCAGCATACATATTTAATCAGTCATACTGTAGCTTCTATGCTTAAGATGGAGCTTGCAGCTTGTTTGTACTGAGAAATACAGTATATTCATTCATCATGTTTATTCAAATTAGGGCATCTGAGGAGTGATGACAACTTTCTTTTGTAAAATTATCTGCAGCGGTTTTAAGAATGTACCTGTCATTATGAAAAACAGTAAACTTGATGATGCATGTTTAAAAAGAGGACAGCAGCACAGTTTTATCCTGTGTAAAACGCTGGCGTTTGCAGCACGTTCTCTCCCGTCTACCTTGCACACAACAAAACTTTGCATTTCTTCTTTACCTGGATACAATTTTGGAATGTTTGTCTCACTAAATATGAACTTTCATTGACTGCAGTGGAAATTTGGGCTGTTTCAGAACTGCACTGGAAATCACGGTGCTAATCACTGCTAAATTATTTTGGATGTTGCTTCCTTGGGGAAAAACAAAGTTTTATTATTATGAATGCTTTTGTAGAGCAATACATTTGCTTGATGACTTAGGGCTACATAAATATATCGTTCTAACTGAATTTCAATGTTACCTTTTATAACATACGGCTACTAATTGAGTAGCATATATATTGGCTGTGGGAATAGACCTTGTTTTTTTTTCTCATATAGGTCCCATTACTGGTTTCTTTTGCACCTCCTCCTTCTCAAAATTAAAAAAAAAAATAGAAATAACAATAACAATCTCTCTCTTTCACTCCCTTCCAAGTAGGTAGGAGAAAACTGCTTGATTAGATTATAGAGTCTGTATACTTGTGTAAAGAATTTATTGTGGGAAAGCTATATTAGTGCCAAAGCGATTAATGGTAATTAATGTTCCCACACTTAATAACAAAAGAATTAATAGTGAGCAGCCAATTTCTATAAAGTGTTTCCTTGACATTTCTTACTAAAAATAAAAATTCTGAGCATGCCACATAGATTTCCGGAAAGAAGAAAAGAAAGATTAGGTAAAGAAAACAGCTCCCTGTAATTTAAACCATTATTTGTCTGACAGCTTTTTATCTCCTATCTGGAAGAAATAAACATATTAAATTTTTTATTAAAATAGTGAGGTTTAGTGGGAGTATTTTTTTTTTCCCAATGCAATAATAAATATTTAGTTCTACTGGAAACAAGGAAGTTTGTCTACGAAGCTTTTACTGATGTGTAACCAAAGGTATGAGTCCTCTTTCCTAGTAAAGACAGCTCTTACGCACTTATTTTCTCTTCTTTAGCACAAATTTTGATGTGTAAGTAACATTCCTATAGAGGCCAGGTCATCCACTAGTATTGATCAACTGTCTTCATGTCCTCTGAGGCACTGGCGCCTTTGATTATTGTTTATGAAGGATGAAGTGCCCTGTGTCGATTAAAGAGTAGTTCCAAAGTGCAGAATTAAACCGCAGCCACAGTAAATTTCCAAATAAATAACAAAAGCTTAAAGCAAGATTTTCAGACATACGGGCTGGACACTAGATGTGGCCAGAGAAGGAGTTTAACGGGACCTAGCAAGCTCTTACAAAATCCTCCTTCTGTTGCTTCTGCTCTGCTTATCCCCTGTTGTGTTCAATTGGCATCGCTTTAAATATCACCTCCTACCAGTCGGCGCAGTGGGGGCAGCATGTCTGGATGAAATGGTAGGAGACTGGTATTAGGCACTCAGATCAGAAAGGGGATTGCATCCATTTGGGAAAACGCACTTGGCCAAAGTGTCCGGTACAGAGTGAAATTCCATCCTTTTGAAGAGAAAAAGTACATAAAAGAAAAATATTGTCAGATGTCCGAGTACTATTAAGACAGAATAATTTATACTGAATTCTGCTCTTACTGGTTTGGTAGATCTGTATGTGCTCTGCCTATGATCTGGAAGTGGCAAGAGTTTCTATGTCTGTGCTTCTGGCAAATGTGGTCAGTGTTTAACCCAGACTGTATTTTTGTGCTTACCATCTGCTTAATTCTGAATGTCAGATCCACAACTGGCCTGCTAGTTATTTCTATTCAGCTATTTTGAACTCAGCTCAGTGCAGCAGCTAGGAGAGGAAGTACTGGTTATATGGAAATGTCAACTAGGCTGAATTGCCTCCTGGAAGCTGACTTGAACCTTTCTGTGAAAATAAGAAAGGGGGATAACTCCTACATTTTTATTGCAGCTTGTTTCCTCTCACCATGTATTTTCTTGATTTTGTTGCAATAAAAAATAATGGAAATACAATAGTAAAGGCTGAGCTTGTAACAATTTCCAGTTCTGGCTGGAATTTCGAGTCAGTGGGAATATCACAGCAAGGCTTTAAATAATTTCCAGCCAGATGCTATGTTTTCAGGTGTGTAAAAGTTCAGGTATGTGACTTAGCTTCAGGAAGCTTCACTGAAGTGGACTATCAGGTCTTGATCTTGACCATAACACCCTTTCATCCTTCTTACACAACCAGACTACTCAGCCGCTTATTGTGGTATATCTGGAGTATCTAATACTAAAAAAATTGGGCATGTATATAATGACTCCCTGCACCTTAGAAATGTGGGCACAAGTGAGAAATACTGGGAAAATTGGTTACAGTTATTTCCTGTAAGAGAAATTGCTTAATAATCAAAATTATTTGTACTTTGTAGATCTGCTCCGGTCTTGCTGTTCCGAAGTCTCAAACAGATGTCAGCGCCTTTACCGAAGAACACACTAAAAAGTGGATTAGACAAGTAAGCGGGCTGGAAAAGGGATCTGCTTTGACTCTTTCGATGTACCTGAAGGAGATTTGCCAGCAAGACGGCGGTGGTAGGAGAGCTGCTGCAGGACGTGATGGGGAGCCTGCAGTAAGGAAAATGCAGTCCTTCGGAGCAGGTCCCTTCGGTTTGCGGTGGCTCCCTGCATCTGGGTGTGTGGGGACAAACAGGACAGTCAAGCCCTGAACACGTGAGAGCTTCCCAACCTCTTGGGGTGGCTGCTGTGCCGTCTTTGCAAGGGTCGCAGACTGTGCAGCGCTCTGCCTGGATATACTAGCGCAACCCACGTCAGAAAGGTTGCGGGCCTCCAGAACTTGGTTCAAAGCCTACTTTCACTTGGCTCAGAAAATGCCCATTTTATATTTTGGGGAATGGGGGGGGAATGGAGGGCTCACTTTGGCATGATCTGTCCCCTAAGCCACAGTGCGTTTGTAAAGCGAGGCCTTCAACGCAGGAGGCTGAGGTAGAGACAGTGCTACGGGGGGATTAGAAAGGGTTTTCATTAGTCTCTTTGGATTGCATGCCTGAGCAACTCCTTTGAAAAGGTTACTGCATATGCTCCATCGCATTGAAAGTGAGCTCTGCCTGCCAGATCAGGATGAGAGAGGGTGCGTGGAGATGCGTATTCTCAACTTTCCCTGCATTCAGCATGTGGCCGCCCTTTGGGAGATTTTTTTGTGTTTCCTCACCCTCATGTAACCCTTCTGCTCGAAAGCAGTTAAGTCAAATGAAATATGCGGTGTATAAACTTGCATTACACAGAATTTGCATGTTACATGAACGCAGTTTTCCAGGCCCTGTCTGCCAGAGACGAAAATGTTAAGGTATGGGTGATTGTAAACCATTTATTGTTTATGAATTCAAAGTCCTCTAGGATGTCCCCGGGTGCTGGTTTTTGCTTATGGATCTCTGAACTAGCTGAAGGAAATGTAAAATCAAATGTAGACAGACAGCTCCCTCTTGAATACATATCCGCAGAGGCTCAGGAACACTTGTTATGCTAGCAAGGGTGTGGAATAAATTGCACTCAAGAAATTTGCTCCAGATACACCTATTTGGGATGATAGACTTTGTGTGCGACGTTCGAGCCCCCCTCCCTGGGGACCTGCCATCACGCCAGTGGCGGACAGGTGGATCTGGAGACACGCGGTCTTTGCAGAATGGCAGAGGACCAGCCGATCAATATTTAATGCAAAGGCTGCTGCAACCCCTCACATGCATAATTTATTCCCGCTTTTGGGTACAGATGGACCTGAATCAAGCCGTGTATGCAAACAACAGGGGTATTAAAAGTGGATCCAAGTGTTTCCAATTGTCCTTACCTTCAAAATGCGGCAATTCAAAAGCTGATATTCAGTCATTCCCTCCCACTCCCACTACAGACAACCAAACACTTTGGGGAGGTCTTTGAAATTTATGTTACATTACACTGACTTTCCCTCATTTAGGGCCCTTTACGCTGTTTGTATTTCAGAACAGAATTAGGCCCATAGAAAGAATTAAGCACTGCTGAGTTTAATTAACCGCACTGACAATATATGAGCAAACTCAATCTCATAAAACAGAACTTTATTGTATAAATTGAGACACAAAGTAAAAGGCCGTTCGGATTAAATAAAATAATCCGAAAAACACATTATGCTGAGTAACCTACCTGCTCCTATTCATTCCAGTGAGGGAATAGTTTTCCTGACAAATGATTGAATACCAGTGATATGCCAGCATGCAATGCTATAACATAGCAAGGTATGAGCAAAAGGGATTTACTTTTGACTAGTTAAGAAATAGGCTTACTAATTCACAAATTTATTATAAGATTAGCCTTTAATACCTGATAATCACCTTCGTCAAGGAAAATTTCTTCTCTTCAAAAGGCAAATGAAATTTATAGATGGGTCTTGAGCCAGACTCGTGGTGGGTGGTAGGCAACATTCATGAGAGGTCCAGTCTTTCTTTTAGAGAAAGGAAAGACATAGCATTTTAACCGACTGTGTACAGCATGCAGCACAGCATAACACAGTAGAAGAGAAACAAGACAGGCATGGCCAAGTCTCAGATGCCTTAAGATTATTAATCTCTTTGCACAAAACAAATTTGATCTCTGTCAGACTGTCCATTAATTTTGATGGAGATACTTTTAAGAACTTATGTTTGTGTTTTAGCAGGGCTATTACAGCTAAATACACAAGTAAAAATGTATTCTTATAACATATACAAAAAAGTATTCCCGTTTCAAAGGTGATGTTGTCATATAGATATAAGAACGTCAGTATTTGCTAGAGTCTTGTTATTATCTACTTTGCAATAGGCCATCTGGACTTCAACTAAGAAAGGGCTCCCAATGCGTTAGGCTCATGCAAACATCTGGTGAAAAAAGGCCTTTCCGCCCAAGGACTTTTAGTTTGAACTAATAGAAAGTCAAAGTGTGGGAGAGGAAAAAAGAAGGACAGAGAAAAAAATCTTACTCCAGTCCCACAACCAGTTACTAACAGACGGAAGTCTAGGTCTCCCAACTCCCAGGCTAGCCTCATCGCCGATAGAGGATATTGCATAATTTTTCAGCACAAGAATATACCGGTCACCAGTGCAATATTATTGTGAACAGGTACAAGAGTATCATGAGACCGGTAGTGTGCAAGAAATTACGGTAGACTTAAATAGCCATATAAACATTTGCTGCTGTTTTGCTCTTAGGTTTAAGGTTCAAGGAATAGGCAGATGACAGGATTTTGTGCACAGGTTTAGAATTTGGTGTAGAATTCCACTCCTCTTTGGGCACTGAGCATTCATGCCACTGATTGTTCTTATGATGCTTGGTAGAAATTGGGTGATACAAGGGTCTGAGACTTAGCAGGTGTGGAAATGAGGGCAGCAATAATAGACAGATTGTGTTCCATGGAATGAAGAATTACTGAAGCTTCTTTTGCTGTAGATTTGGATCTCTCATTTCCCTGCTACCCCACCAAGCACTAATGATTTCACCTTTTTGCACTACCTCTAGCCCTCACTTACACACTGTGCCTCAGTTTTCCACCCAAACGACTTCCTGCATGAGAGACTGGGAGTGCTACGGCGCTCTGCACGTGCCTCTTGGCCAAAGCCAAGCTAACAGAAAAGGCACTGTAGAGCCTCATGTTGTAGCTTTTCCTTCAGCAGGGGCACTCATTTTTAGCCTCTTGCCTTGCTCCAGCTGCCAATGTTTGCAGAACGTATAGGAATTTAATTATCTTTGGGGCTTTTACCTCTCTACTGAATTTGATTGAAATCAGCCAATGAATTTGCGAATGGCTAAGGAAGAAATGTCTGGCAGACAGGACGGTCATGTAAGCTTCATTTCTTTAGGAGAGTTGTCCAAAAAACTGAACTCAGCAAAGTGTGGTATTTTGAAAAGTATAAAAGCATATGAGCTGTAGCAAAGTTTGTCTGGCTATGGAGAGAAAGGGAATAAATAGTGGGATTAAATAGAGAGGAAAGCAAAAGTCAGAGGTCTTATAATATCAGTCCCCTCTTTGGATGACATGGAGAAAGAGATTAGAAGTTTCCATGATTGAGAATATGCCTTCCCCAAAATGAAATAATAGTTTAAAAGCTCAAATATTAGACAAAAGGCTTGTTTACTCAATGTATTAGAGGGATCCGAGGCTTCGGGTTCTTGTTCATTCACTTCCTCCGTGGTTCTGCGAGCTGGAGCGGGACAAGCAACGGGAGGGCAGTGGGAGAGAAACTCTTCCCTGAGGACTTCGGAGCCGCTGGCCCCCAGTTTCAGAGGTCTATGTGAGCCTGCTCCGAGGTTAGCGTCCGCCTGGAGAAGTCACAGGCAAACAGCTATGGAGAAATCCACGTTCTTCATTACGCTGTAGGAGATAAAGAAGGAAATGGTTTCTCTTGTCTTTTAAGTGGCAATTTCGAGGCTAAATGTGAGCATTTTTGCACAAAGATATGGGCAGGAGGCCCTTTGGAAATCTTTCAGCAAAGTTATAGAGCTTCCTGAACCTGAGCCAGGCAAAAATACTAGGACTTGAACCAAAAGGAAATATTTTATGGCTTGAATGTCTTTTACCAATCAATTTTTTTATTTGGAAAGACTTTTTTTCCTCTTGTAGCCTAGATGAAAAGATTAAAGTATGATACAACGATGTAGTGGAACAGCCGTGTTTGGCCAGGTGATAGATAAATGCTTTAGATATTGTTTCAACCATCTTAGTATTGGCTTTAAAGCAAACATGGGTGTATAAAAGAGCATAATACCCATACTTATGCATGCGTATGTATGTTTTCTCTCTCTTTTTGCTATTTATGTATATATGTGATGGCACTGATATGCTAAATGAATAAGAAGCCCACTTTATCTCATTTTATAGGCACACAGGGAACGCTGGATTCAGACTGACAGCCAAGGTGAGAGCTGATTTCTCAGCATATTTATTTTAAAACTCTTTAACACATATTACTAGAGGACTCTCAGATTCATCCCCCACCCCACTCCACCCCAACTCCAAAGCTGGGTGTAGTTCAACCCTCCTCCAAGCAAAAAACCAGAATAATCAGAATTAATAGGGGACTGATACTCTCACCCTCCCACTCACAGACACAGAGCCAGGCTATGAACCTGTATTACAGCTCCTCAACAGTTTTTTCCAGCCCACAGGTTGTAAAAAGTAGTCAGTCACACCATCGCTCTGTGCAATAGTATCTGCGTTATTTATTAGCCAATGGACTTACTCTGTCCCTTTTTTCAACCCAGCTTTAGTGACTGCGTATTCAGGGTCAGTTCGCTCACATCCCTACAAGTTGCGTAGGGGTGAGGAGAGGCAGAGGCAGGGATTTTCCATGACTGTTCACTTTCTAACTCTCAGCACAGCTCCACTTTGTGATTTTAGGGATTTTGTATGAACCTAGGTGATTTTTAGGCATTTGTATGTAATAAAGTAAATATCCCTTGCAGAGAGACAGATGCACTTGTAGAGCCATGCAGTGCCTCAAATTAGAGGAGCTATATTATACGGAGGGGCATAGTCACAGAATGTGTAGCTTAAAATCAGTTCACGTCATATGACAGTATTAACATGTAAAAACACCTACATGAAGAGTACAGTACATAAAATTGCAAGGCAAGCCTTTTGTAAGATATGTGCTTACCAAACGGTCTATATAGTTTGACAGTCCAGCTAATTTTCTTTTTAATAATTTTGATAGCAATTGCTAATAATTAGCTCATCTAATCTAGATTTTCATTTCATATTTTTAAAACTATGCTATTAGAAATGGTTGAGGAACACTACCCTTAAAAAAAAAAGGTGATAATTTCCCAACGACCTGGGACCACTGCTGGAGAAAGGATTTTGCCTGAAAGGGTTTCAGGAAGTTACAAAACTCCTTTACATGGCCTGTTGGATCTGTGTATGATTTCCAACATTACACAAAATAAATACCAGGAGACTGGTGTGGTTTATACAAGAGTTTATAGAGAAAAAATCCACCCACCAGCTCCCTTGCTGAGGATTACAACCAGGTCTCTGCTGCCAAGTTCTCTGTTTAGGTAAAGCATGAGAAAATCTGCCATTTTTTTAGAGTCACAAAAGGGGTGCTCCAGGGGGGGCAGTGAGAAGCTGACAGCTCTCGCTGCTTAAAAGGCAGCTGTTCCTTCTCAGGTACTATTATTAATAAACCCTAAGGTAAAGTTTGCTCTGAAATATGTCTAATTGAAATAATTTACCCTAACCCTTAGAGAATTATGAAACTGTTTTCATCATGTTCACACACAGCAAAATAATTATGAGATGCCATATGGAAAAGACATCATGTGGTATATGTATTTCTGAATGTATACTTTTTGAAATGGTTCCCACAGATAAATCATATAGCTAATTTACAAAGAGGAGGTGGATAGTAGTTCTTAAGCATGCAGTTTAAGTTTAAAATGGTTTCAGGCTGGGTAAATTTACAGTGGTGATGACATGCAGTAATTGCACTGATCGCAGGACGTATATCACAAAAGATGTCAATAGCACCGTTAAGTTGCGCCGTGCAAAACGGAGCAGCGAAATCCTACTGATTCCTCTCCCCGCAACTGCGATGCGGCACTTGCTCAAGAGCTGCGCAGGTACAGCAAGGTCTTGAGTTCGCTTTGTGCTTTGAGATGCTCTTGATTTTGATCAAAGCGCTGGACCCAGCGCCTGGCCAGCAGGGCAGGCGAGGAGCGTGTCCGTAAGTGGTGCTGCCTGGACCATTGCGTGATTTCATGCGTCTCTGCTGGAGGCTTTGGCGTTTTGCTGCTGTGGAGATGTTTTCTATGTAGAGGAGAATGGCAGGAATGAACCTGGAGCTGGCCACAATAGCCCTCACATCATGAGGGGGACCTCGAAAAAATCAGTAGCAAGGACTACTTGAAATTTGTGGGTTTTTTTCCAAGGTCCTGCTGGCAGTTAGTCATTTAAGAACGGCAGACAATCTGATTTCTGAGGAACAGGACACACCAACCAAGGGTCGGTCAAGCCACGCACACTGTGAGGATGTCCCCGGTCATCAAAAAGTCTCTGACATCATTCTGGTTTATATCCAGAAAGCTTTGAGCTGTAACCCAACCAGGGGGAACACTCTCATCCCATAACATCATTCTGAGGAAAGCCCATGAGAGACAATTTCTTCTGTTTTTGTTTCCCACCGTCCATCTCCTGAAAGTTTTTTCAGAAGGTTTTATTCCCAGCCTGGTTTGTAGCATTATCACGTGTATGTGTATACATATGCATATTTAATTTCATGCAGTAGCAGTAGAATTCTGTAGGGACCTTTCTAGACCTTTTTCTGAAATATTTATGGTAGGCTGATAAGACATCTTAACTATCAGAAAGAGAACCTCAGAAGCTTTGAAGGTGCTTTTTGAAAAAGGAGCTCTTATTAACATTTCTAGAAATCTGGCTGGAGATCAGGCTTTCTTGTCAGACTTCTGGTAGTTCTTGTTTCCAGATGGATGGAAGAAAAATAAGAGAATAGCTTATTACACCCTTTCTGTTTCATGTCCGATTTGAAACCCACAAGTGAAGAAAATAGAAAGAAATCTCATTTTGTCCATTCCGTTCCCTTCATTTCTAAGGAGTCCTCAAAAAAATATTTATCTCTAATTTGAAAAGTTCAGGTTAGTCTGTGTTTTATCTGAGCTAGCTCTCCAGTCACCTCTGCAATTATTTCTATGACGACTGGAGAAATATTTGAAAGATCCTGGACCACCAAATAATTCTCACCAAGTCTCTATCCTATTTTCAGTGGTTGCAAGAGCTATAGAGATGTGCTGCAATTGCATTGCTTATCCCTCAGTAATGGCATCATTATCCTGCATTACCACTCCAGGTAGTGTATTTGTCAACAACCTAGTAACTGATGAATACCAGGAAAATATTTACCCTACTTTTGTACTGTGGCGTTACCCCAGTAATGCCATTTCAGGAAGACCACACGGTATTTCTGAGATTCAAGTTACAGAAACCAAAAGAGCCTTGGCATTTCTCTGTCTGTAACACCAGTCCTCAAATAACCACCTTGAGAGACAGTAATTACAGTAATCATGTTTTTAAAGGAGAAAAAAAAAAAGAAGAAGAAGAAGAAGAAAAAAGTGCTATTCCCCACAAATATCTAAAGGTGGGAGTTTTCAAACGCCCTCGCTGTGTGTGGAGCGCTAGGGACATCCATGATTGAAGACTCCCTAATCTTCCCAGGAGTAACCACACAGGCGAATATTTGCTCGCTCTGCCCGTACAGGTAGCGTATCCCAATGCTGCTGATGTATTAACGCGCGAGTATTTAAGCGGAGCTTTTCCACCCCGGATCACTGCGGTGAGCTGCTTGCGCTGAGGAGGTAGCCTTGCTTCTCCCTGCTTTCTGCCATCCCTGCTCTTGAACGAGAAACGTGATGCTCTTCCTCCTTTCCTAACCTCGCACAGGCTAGCAGGCACGTTCCCCTTTTAGCAACTTCCAGTCAATTGTCTTTATGCTCACTGAAGGTGTATTGCGTTTTGTGCTACTGAAGTGCCCTAAACCAAAAGTAACATTTTTTTTCCTGCGAGTTGCAGTAGATTATTGTTTTACTGCAGTACCTGAAAGCATGAAATAGAGATTTGTGATACTCCTGTGTTTTCCACTTCAGTTCATGTAATGCAGGAAAGGTAAAGTGTCTTTGGTTCCACAGTATTCTTTTTTCTTTTTTTTTTTGCTTTTGAGCAGTGTGTGTGTGATTAGAGTATAGTGAGAAGGTCACTGACCAAACTTTATCTTCCACACAGTTTCCCACAGCATGTATTCCTCCTAGGGAACATTTTCTCAGCTCAGGTTATTTCCAGAAATGTTCTCAAACCATAAGAACAGTCCTTGCAGTAAAACATTTCATTCCCACTTTTTATCCTTTATCTAGCAGCGCAGTGTTGACAGCATTTATGTTTCTTCTATTGACTGGGCCAAGAACAACAGGATTAATGAGGTTGTCTCTTCATGAGTGCATTATATTTTTTCCTCTGACCTTTCAAACATGGGAATCTTCTGTTTGCAATATTTCTTGAGGGAGGAAAAACCCTCCTCGTTCAAGCCGGTTGTGATGGAGGCCGTTTGGGTCCAAGCCTGGGCTCCAGGCACACCTACAGCCCCCTGCAGCTCCGCGCTCTTGGTGCGAAGCTCGTGGGCGCTCTCTGAGCTGCCTTCGCCCTAGCCCATGCACGGGCTGAAAGGAGCAAAGGAGAGAATATCTTTGTTTCCTTGTTTTTTAAAGATCTAGCTGGGGGATGTGGGATATTTTAAGGTCTTCCTCGAGCTACGAAGTCCTGATTATAAATCTTACGTAGCTGCCTAGAGACTATTGTACTGCATGAACTATTCAGGAGAAGGGTGGACACTGCTCTGCTCTTTTTTTTTTCTGAAGGATTGCAAATGTTTAGGCTAGGCTAGCAGAGGAAGGAGGAGCTGCTGTAATTACAGGCTTCCACAAAATGCTCTGGTGCTTTATCTTTCCTATTCTTGATTATTTTTGACACTGGGTAACTGGAACAAAATCAAGATAGGATCATTTCTAAGTGCAGCAGGACAGAGAACGTGAAGAATTTTCCCAAGGATAGAAGCACAAATATCTTTAAACACAATAAATAACTTTGCACATATGACATGTTTTAGTCAACCTCCTCAAAATATGTCAATTAGATAAGTTTAACATAATTAAACTGTTGCAAAGGAGAGTCAAGGGTGATTTATTCCCATTTGACATCTGGGGAAACTGAGGCACAGAGAATCTGAAAAGCTCCCATTAACCCAAAAGCTGTGTCTACATAAACCGATCTTTAAGCTAGTAAGTTCAAAGCTGGCTCGGTGGGGAAAGAAGCACCACAAATTCGTGCTCATATCTTGCACCTGAAACAGCAGCTCTTACCTGCTTGCTTTAGGGTGGAAACGGAGACTCCAGGGACTCTCTTCCTCAGGGCTCCAGCGCTGACTTTGCCGTGCGGGGTCAGGACGCCTCAGCTCTGGGCAATGGTCCAGGAGGGCCAGAGCTCAAGCGCTGGGCTCAGGTCTGAAACAAGCTTGAGATCTCTGTGTGCGGGTTCAAGTCATTCGGGGACTTTGAGAGCGAGCTGAACTAGACATGTAGTCGTAGCCAAATTTCATCCGTGTCAGGCCGGGTAGGAGAACAGAAACAAAGATTCCTGGCTGCTCACTTCAACAATTTAAATGATCCCACGTATTAGCTCTGGAAACAGGACAGGCTGCTTTTACACTGCTTTAAGTTGAAAAAGTCATCAGAGAAGCTAAGATGTTTCTGAGCAACTCTTCAGAGTAATATTTCAAGAGATTCCCGAAGCGTTTGCTCCTGAAAAGGATGGTACCTATGCGGTAAAGAAGGTAATTCAACTTGGTGCTACCCTCAGGCCCTGGCAAGAGCCACTGCTTGCAAGTACCAGGAGACAGCTTTCAAGCTTCAACCACGAGTGTATTCTGCGTCTTGAATTTGTGCTTCCTGGATGTCAGAGCTTTGAGTTTTGTTGCTTAAACTCTTTTTTAACTCCTTTTAGGATTTTTAATGTAGTTGAATAACCAGAGATGGCACTTAATAAGTTTATATCCGTATTTGCTGGGGGTTAGGGTAGTTAATTGTATAAAACTTTGATGGACAAATTCTTATATTTAAGATTTCCCTGGCAATCATGTATGCAGAGGCTCAATTCTGCCGTACTCTGCTGCTTTTTAGCTTGAGCAACTTGTATAAAGCTAAAGAAAATGGAGTTTGCTTTGTTAAATTCCCTTAAGCAACTGAGTTCTCTATCATACATTGGTAAGGTATTCTTAAAAAGCCCCCAACAGAAAATATTTTGGGGCTTGTAACCCTCTAGACTTTAAGATTTTAAAACCCTGACACTTCAAGATTAAAAAAAAATACATCTATCAGTGAACGATGAATACATGTTTGTGTAGTTTTCCTTATTTGCATTTGCTGGTAATTAATTAAAAAACATGAGTTTAATTAAACTTGGAGTTAGGGGATTCATTAAAATAAAAACAAAAAGCATTTCAGTTAAAAATGTAAAATAACTTGTTCAGTTGAGTTAGCTGGTGAAGCTTAAGGATTTGCAGAAAAATACCGGCAGTGCTAAAACTTCAGGGAATATCACTCTGCATACAGTTATAGAAGAGTTACTGAACACGAGGGGTATTGGTGCATCTTTGTCAGCAGACACATGTCACGTTGCAGATACTTGAACTGAAATAATATTTGCCATCAGTTTCTTTCTAGTCTGAGTCTGTGGCTATGACAAAATGAAATCCATAATAGGTCTGAACTAAAGGCTTGCAGCCTCACCAAAGGTAAGGTTTTAAAAAATGAGGGATAGAACTTAAAAAGAAAAAAAAGCCTAAAGGAATGAGATATCTGTAGGAACTCATGCAAAACACAAGATTAAATTATGCTTATCTGTTTACATTATTGTGAAAAGTTATTTTTCTTTTAGATCTCTTTTAATCTCAACTCACCGTCCTTAGCATTTATTTCCTTCCTTTTTTTTTTTTTTGCATTTTTTTCCTTGGAGGGCAAGGGAAGAGGTTTGTTTTTTAAGAAAAGCCAAGTTATTAGGATGTTGAAAGTAATGATAGAAAAGAAAAAGATATCCCAATTGGTAAGTAAGCCCGATGTTGATTAAACATTTTTCCATAGCCTGTTCTCTTTGTTTCCCTTCCTTTGACAGGGCTAAGCTTGTCTCACCAGCAGAAGAGAGCTGATTCTCTGTGGGAAATCCTCATGTATACAATGCAGAAATTTTGAATTTTTTGTAGAACACATCATCTGAAAATTGCTACTTGGAAACACTGAACCATTGCTGTTTATCCACGGGAATGGAAGTGAGACCTTTGAACCTTCTCAGGCTGAAGCACTGTGACGATGGTCTCCAAACCCGCACGTGCTCCTGGCAGGGCCAACAAGTCTCTCCTTCGTCTAGGTCAGGGTTCCAGCTACACTTAGGTCGTGGAGCTTAGGGTGCTCCCCTGAGCCAGCCTCAGAGGCATCCACACAGCACCAAGGAAGGTAGCGTCCTCCAGGGAGCCAAGCGCAGCAGCAGCTCCTGCAAGGTGCTACACTCCTGGTGTCATGGGGCTACTTCAGGATGAAACCTGCTAACAAGACATTCTGATTTTGGAGAAAACTGTCTCAAAATTAAGATTTTCTATGCCTTACTCTTCCCCAAAGAAACTGAATTTGGGGAGGAAATAATAATAATATTTAAATATAATGATAACCATAAAATTCCTTGCTGTATTCATCAGAGTGTTTACTATGAAATTAATACGAAACACCTCTCAGTGACAAATATGAAATGAGCACAACCAACGCTGTACTAATAGCTGTATTTGGAAGGTGACTTAGCACATGCGTGTGAGATGTGTGTGGAAGTGGCAAAAATCTAAAAAAGGGAAAATCTTTGAGGTGAGGAGCCATCCGTGCACATGTTCCTTTCGGGTATTTTGGGAAGAGGGCTCCCGCGTCAGCAAGCACCTGCACCAGGCACGGCGGCTCAGGCGGAAAGGTGCCATCGCGCAAACGCAGCAGATGCCCCACAGCTGAAGCCTTTCAAAGGAGACACCTAGCGAGACCCCCGGCCTGGCCGTATGGGATAACTTAAAGGTACGTAAATAGGCCTTAAAGGGGGCATTGTCTGCTTTTAAAAAAAGGGAAAACTAAGTAGGGTTTGTGTGCGGGTAAAGTAAATATGGTGAGAAAGGCATGACTTGTTAAGAGCTTTTTGAGGACCCCACACTCACAAAATCCTTTAGGTCATGTGTTTGCTTTCTGAAACATTTGGTAAGTAATAAGTGCCAAGGGACTACATGCACTCCATCTGGAATTAGCAGATTCCTCTTTGTTCAATTGTTCCTAAATCTGGAACCAGCTGACTTGCTTAAAAGTATTTTGATTTTCTTTTAAATAAATACGGGAAATAAACAAAGCCCGGGACCTTTAGAGAGGTACATTATTAGTCTTCTCCCTGGCTTCGCGAGCAGCGAGAGTCTTAAAGGGGCACTTGCCAGTTTTGATGTTTGTTATTGGTTTATGGTAACAATTTGTTTGGAGTGGCCCATCGTTTTTGTTTCCCTTTTATAAATAGTATCAAAGAAATCAGATATGGAAAAAGAACCATTAGGTCATCGAATACACTCCCCTGCCAATGCAGGCTTGTTCCCTATAGTGTACTTTTTCCATTTCTTTGTCCAGGTTAAACTTGGAATTAAGTTTAAGAGCCTGTAGGTCTGATGAGAAGTACAAGAGCAAGTGGAGATTTTACTCTTTTCTGCTTTCCTTGCTAGACAAACACCATATTTCCATCTCCACCTCTCCTGCAAAGGGAAATGTGATGTTAAAAGATCAAGCAGACACTTTCTCTTTGCAGGTGTTGTAGATTACTACCTCATTCCTATAAAAAATTAATTTTTGCTTGGGGAAAGCAAAAAAGGAAGAGAAGAGAAACACTTGTCTTATCTTCCCTGTTGTCCTATAACACTCAAGAGGAAGATTCTGAGACCAAACCACCTGCTTGTCCATGACTTATGAAAAGAGACTGTTTCCTTGAGGACCTTTAAAAGTTTTATTAAAAAAAAAAAAGTGTTTTTTTTTTTATAACTTTACAAAGATACTTGGGCAAACACTTTAAAGAAATGGAAGAAAAACATGGGAATCACCCAAAATTGCACTGAATTCCTGATATGGAATTCAGCTGGAGGAACATTTGACACTGAAAATGTTTTCAATGAAAAGCCTGCAAATCAAAGCTCGAAAACGTCGCCCAATGTGATTACGTTTGGCATATGAGGAATTATTAAGAGGTACAGATCTGTAGATTTGGGATCACAGCCTAAGATACTCAGTTTGTATATGTTGGTCTGGCTCCACGGATTCGAATGGAACGAAGCCTATTTACAATAGCTGAAGATGGATGATTCCCTCTCTCTCCACCGACCGGAGAGAAAGCTTAGGGAGACTTGCTTTCCTAAGTTAAAGCTGGCCAGTTAAAGCTGGTCTTACGAAGCATTACATAGTAGGATCAACATATTTATCTAGTTCACGGTTGCTCAGAATTTTGTTTCATCCAACATTTGTTCAAAATATAAGCGAACGCTTTATTTCTGCTTCAAGCTTTCATAAGAGTGGAAGTATTTTCTGTATGGTTATGAGGTCTTTGTATTTGGTCTAGATAAACATCTGTAACTGTTTTACCAACTCATGTATTCATATGTATTGTAAGTCAAAGGAGCTTAAGTTCTCTCTTTTTGCACGGAGTTGCAACCATTCTATTTTGCAGGTTGTTTCTTATACATTGTCTTTCAATAGCCTGAGGGCTCCTCTAAATTATTACTCTTTTCTTTCATAGCAAGAAGGAAACAAAGTATAGCCAAAGATTAGCAAGAAAAGGTCAAAACAAAACCTAGTCATAACCTCTTTTCCTTCCTACTCCAGTCCGTCCTCATCCCTCAGGATGCAGATCAGTCCTGCGTTTCCTTGGTGTGGCTACGCATCGCTCAGCTGGATCTGCTGAAAATATCGATGTTTGGGCTCGTCCAGAACACCAAGGTATCAGTATTTGTCCTTTTTAAATGTAAGCGTATGACTGCGTGTTCGGGAGTTGCATCAAAGCTTTGTGGAGAACAGGTTGTGTGCCGTACCTTAAGTAAGCACATAGTAATTCTTAAAAGCCAAAGAGCTGTAGGCTGTAAGGAATTTAGTACCGTGGAGCCCTGGCTATTAAAATAAAAATGATAAAGCTCGTAAATATTTAGCAGAATCTTGTGATTCGAAGGGATGGATATTTGTTGTCTTTAGTACCTGTAATCTGAGTAAAGACGTCTACTCAGAAAAGCATTGGCACTTTTCAAAATTTTTGAATCCTCAAAGATTTTTTTGGCAACAGAAAAAGAAATATTCACTCTTGTTCCCAATGAAATCATTTCAGATGTTGCCATTGACATCTCCGTGAGACTGGTGGTTCCTTCTTGTTTCCAATTATCATTTATAAAGTCTGAGAACCAACTTTGTTATGAGAATAAAATCATTATTTGCAACTTATAAATCTTTTAGACAACACATATGTTCATATTTTGTATGTTATATTCTCTCCTTTTATGCAACTTTCTGTTCTCCTAAATGTCATTTAAACTACAAAAATTACTGATAGATGGGCAAATAGTAAAAGATGTTAGAACAGACAGAAATATTGTAGGCTAAATATAGTAATAAGTATGAGTTACATAACATAAGGAGAAATGAATGATAGGATGATGAAAATGAAGCAAATCTGAATTGTAAAACAGAGGAAAATGCTATCAAAGTTTTACTTTTATGAACTGCAATTTCTGTTAGTGGGCTCGAAAGAAGGCCATTTTGACAGGTTAGGCTACTGCATGGTACTATAGTTAGAACTACTGACTGATTTTTTTTGCTGTTGTTTGTTGAGATGACTAAGTTGTCATTTTTAATTAGCTTTAAGCTCTTCTCAAAGGCTAATTACTTTACTTTTTATCAAGATTACTTGATTGGTAATGACAAGGGTGCCATGGTTACGTATTTTTAGAGAATTCCCCAACCTGCACAGTTATATGATTTTCTGTTCCCTCTGGAATCTTTGTGCAGTAAAGCCTTCAGTAAAAATAATGGTTAGGAAAAATACATATTTACTATTGATATCAGCAAAACAAAGTATCTCTTGATTTTTTGGCAGGAAGGCCATTGCTAATATATTTAGTCAGCGTAAACAAACATTACGTTTAGTTTACCTATCTGTCCCTGACGCGAGCGCTACTCTATTACCTTAGATGAAGTTACATTAGGAAAACTGGATGTGAGACATGAAGCCTTTCTTTTTTTCCTTTTATTTGTTTGTACTCTTGCATCTTCCCTTGTCAGCATGGAAATTTGGACTGACTTAACTGCATACTTATTTTGTGGCATACAAATTACGCAGTCAGATACTGACACTCAGACAGCTTTTACCTCCCTGTTTACTAGAATCTGGTTGAAGAGCCCTTGAGATAAGTGTAAGTGGTGCAGTCACAGGTGAAATCTTTCTTTTCTTTAGCCACCTATAGATTACTATAATCTATTCTCGTTTGAAACATCAGCAGCTCAAAAGGTGATGCCTCTGTGAAAGCAACCTCAAGGGGTGAGACAGTGATGGGGAAAATAAATAGTGCTGTGACATTTTTGAGAAATACAGCTATACGCAAAGAAACACTACTTTACTCCTGTTCTGCAACACATAAATACATGTCAGATGTGTGGTAAACCTAATTCTCACAGGAGCTTGTCCTGAAAAAGGGAAAAGACACGATGATTTAGAGTCTACATCTGCAACTCTTGCAGCTGCTTCAGGTCCTGCTGCTGGAGGAAGAGTCCTCGGATTGCCAGCCTCCTAGTGCGGGAGCCGACAGGAATTCCTCAACGAAACCGTGAGGGGACCTCACCCTAGAGCTGACTGCTCGGAGAGGAAGGAGGGGAAAGCCACCGTTCGGCTGCAAGAAAAGCAGTTGCTTCTGCCGTCAGACACCCCACCTTGCGGCACGAGCCTTGCCCCTTGTGCAACCAGAAGAGGACTCCCTGATGTTAGCAATTCCGGTTGCATTCTCCAAAATCTGTTGAAAAATTAAGGCTAGGCGAGGCAACTCCCTAAATCAAAGGAAAAGCCAGTGTGATAGGGGCCTGGCGTATCATCCTGCTGTGCAGGAGCTTGCAGGAGCGGCCCCTGCAGCCACAGCACAAGTGCTGGCTCCCAAGGGCTGCTGCAATTTCTTTATTTGTTGGAAAGGCGGATGGGACCTTTTAATAATAAGATATGTGAAACCGTTTGGATGATCTGGAGTGAAGGCTTGCGCAGCCCCTGTGTCAATGCACTGTGGCAATGCAGTGGAAACGGGGCGGTTCTAGAAACAACTGCCCTTCAGCGTGGTTCTTTCCAGTCTATGTGTAAAAACCACCCTCTTAGGGACCACCTCTTCTCTTTAATGAGCTAGTAACACGTCTCTGATTTGAGTAGCTAAAATAAATTTTTATTGCTTTTTGCTTACGTTAGCACCCCGGAGTAAGAAGACAGACACGTAAGCTAGGCTGGCCATTGCTGTGATTCTGTGAAACAGGGCTTCACTTCCTTGCTTCCTTTGCGGCAGGAAAATTAGAAAAGACCTGATCCTAAAGATATTAAATGCTGAAATCCTATGGAATTCAATAGAAATTATTGCCCAAATATTGAGGCGATCTGGGCTTAATCTTTCTGTACTTGAGTCCTCCATCTGTCAAATGAGAATATTCTTCCCTAGTCCCGGTAAAGTGTAACAATAAAAACATTAAGGAAAATAAGGTGCTCGGCTCCTATAATCTGTAAATGTAGAAAATCAAAGCAAGACAGAATGGTTATATGTTTTTTATGCATCCTGATTACTTATTAGTTTCCATTTCCAGAGACAACTGTGTACCCCTTTGCTAATTAATTAATTGACGGTCGGGTTCCACAGCTGTAATCAGGGCCCCCTTTACCCTCCAGAGCTTCGCTGACAGCAGGGATCAACAAGCAGGTAAGGACCCAGCTTGGCTTTTAGAAACCAGCTGAAATGTACTCTTTTTCCAACGCAAACTGAGCCTTTTTCACTTTTAGGCTCATTTTCCGCATCTCGGCTTTCTGCGCGGAACCTTGCTTCCAGTATAAATAAATGATTCCACATTCCGTCATGATAACATATGCTCATGCAGAGCTCAGAATTAGAAGGAATATGAAGTGTTCTATTAATTGCATGAATGTTGATTGTTAAAATCATGTGCTAATTGGTAATATCTGTGTGCAGTAGGTTCCTGCAATATGTGTTAGATTACATTAACGATGCTTGTGACTTAGATATCAGGCGTCATGCATTTTATAGAAGGATTTTTTGAAACTTTGTGTAATTAGGTTCTATAGATTATCAGTGTAGAAAAATTAGTAGAAGATTGTGTAAAGGGCATGTGAAGTTAGAGGCAGAAAGAACACTGAACTTTAAAATGCATGTGCTCTTCTTTCTCATGGTGCATTTTCCCTCAAATATTTTCTAAAGTAATTTTCACCATGTGAAAAATGGAAACTCCCAGGGAATAAAGTAAGAGCTCTTTCTCACGGAACGAACCACCGTGGCACTTACAACAGAAAATTTAATGTTACCATCTTTCTTTTCCTAGGTTTCGTCACTTTTTAGTCTCTTCCTTTGCATCTCCTAGGCTGTGATCCAAGGAGCATTCAGGTACATTACAGATAAATTAGATTATCACCGTGCTCACCTATCAGCATGGCATTTGAGCATGCTTAGCAACATGACTCTCTTCCACCAGATGTGCTTCCTCTCCTTTCCTAATCCCTGGGGAAAATTTCATATGGATCTGTTTTGTTCATTGATGTTTTAATTTTATTGAGTGCCATGAGTATTTATTAAAATAGGCAAGGTGGAAGGAACTAAACCTTGGAGCTATGTATGGTAAATTATGAGTGTTTTCAGAAAGCAAAATGATTAGTTCTGCTCTTTGTACGAGTTGCTGGCACCTGAACTGGGGACGCACAGCTCCACTGCGGCAAAGAGCAGGAAAGCAGTCAGATGCTGAAGCATGGGGATGCAGTCCTTAATACCCAATATGCATGAAATTCTGTGGTCGTCTGCTTTTCTGTGAAAAAACTTACTCGGGTAATCGCATATATCCACAGGGAACACGTTGGCCCTGTCCTGCCCGAGAGCTGCCCTAGCTCACCCTAAGCATGGTTACTGGGGTCACCTCCCTTTGCCATACGTGTCTGCGCTTCCTTGTCCCTCCCGCACGGGACCTTCCGCTGCAGTATCTACTGAATATTAACAGGCTAATAAACTGAGTGGGAGAGATCATTAGAAATCAGTGATCATCGCTTCCTTAACAAGCTATCTCCTCTCTAAATTTATTTAAAAAAAAGGCATTTTTTTCTACGTAAATCCAAAATTTATGTGTCTATTTTTATGTAGGTTTTTATGTATTTTATGTAGGTTAGCAAGATTTTGAGCCCAGCTCTTTAATGTGTTTGGAAATTGTGTGCCTGCCCACTGCAGAGGAAGCTGGTGGGAAGGAGAAGAGAAGAGACTGCCTAAGCTTCCCGGGGTACACAAGCCGTAAAACGGCAGTCACTTATTTTGGTGGATACTGACTTGAAATTTTATTTAAATTCTTTAAATTAGCATGTTTCATATAGTGATTGGATTTTGAGCAACTAGTATGTCTGAGGGGGTCAAAACCAGCTATATTCACCCTGGCAAAGGTGTCGTGGGAGCCATTCCCTGACTAATACTTATTATTGTTTTGGGAGACATAGGCTTAAGCCAGACAAATTTATGTATTCCCGGAATAAGACTGAAGATAAAATAATGATAACAATACTAAAGTGATTCGAAGAATCATATTCAAAGAATCAGACAGATTTCTGAGTTGGCAAAAAAAAAATCTTCCTGTTTAAGTGTTTCATGGCTTCCACTGAGAAAAATAATTAGAATGAAAGTCTTCTAACTAGCACAATTTTATTTCATTTTACAGTGGACCAACTTGGTAATGATGCAATGAATTAAAAAGGGATGTCTGAGAGGAAAAATGGATGCAGTTTTGGTAAAGAGAGCATTTACAGAAGCGTTAGAAGTCTTATCAAGGCTATTACTCTAATATCTGTTGATTTCCTGATCTTGAAACAAGCAAACCTCGTGGGTTAAAGAGCTTAATGTTAAGGCACACTCTGTCAGTTGTCCTGAGAAATGCAACAGATCTAAGAGGAAATCAGTTTTAGCCCCCCTCCAAAATGTTGACACCGAATCAAACAGTGCATGAACTATATTCACAGTTTTAATTAAAAGAAAAAACTGACAAATTACCAGGGTTCTAGTGTTCATAAGCTGGTTGTCTGTTTTAGAAATATTTTTTTCTAATGTACATACTCTCATACATGAAATAGTTTCTAGATTTATTTTATTATAGTTGTAAATTATGGCACAAATACTTAATCTTACCTCCTTAAATATGTTTTCCAATTTCCTCGCAATCCCTTTCCCCCCTCCACTCCTGATTCGTAAAGTGATGCAATCAAAAGGGGGAACAAATGTAGTAGATGAGATGACCACTGGAAATATGTGGAAAAATTAACAATTAAAAAAATTAACCAGAAGGAAATTGCTTACTAATTTTTAAGATACAAAGGTTAATCCAAAATGACTACCAGCCTTCAAAAGGTTAACTGTCAAATTAAATAACAGGGACATACAGTGGTCACTGGCTACCTGGGGGAATAAGCTGTTAAATTACTTACTTCAATTCACATAATTTTCAAAGAGATTAGCTCCTCTGTGTCTCTGCCTAGCTTGTGCTGAGAAAACTTTGCATTCCAGAGAAGGTTTTGTTAACCTAGCAAGCGTGAGGGCCTGATTGGTCATGGGAGAATCTGGGCTAAGCGGTATACGTTTCCGATGATGTAAAAGTAAATTAGAGAACAGGGCAAGTTATTACACTAGAGAATGAAGGACTATGGGGAATAATAAAAATCAGGTTACACTAATTTCCTTTGAACAACTAAATATATACAGGTCATTATTTCCTATAATCTGCAAGCTTCCAAGCGCAGGTCCCAGCTCTCAGCTGAAGCCTCTGAGATGCAAAACAACAGAGTGCAGGGAAAAAGAGGAGACGGACCTGGCGAGTGAAGCGTGGTTTCTGCGTGCAGCGTTTGGGCTCGCGTTGGATTCTTCGAGTCAGTCACTGCAGTAAGGAAAACACTAAAAGGGCTAAGAGCTATTTGTTTGCTGCTCAGCGCTCTGTGGAGCTGCATTGTGCTTTGTGAAAAGCAAGAGAGGTCTGGTGCACCCAGAACTGAAGGATGTCACTAATTTTAAGAGAGCCAAAGGGAATCCAGAACAATGGTTGGTGCTGGATGTCTAATGAGGACTATTCTTTTTGCGTTATTCGTTGTTCTATTGTTTAAAACGCACACAATTTGGCGATCTGGAGTAGATGTCAGTGCATAGCTCGCAGTCCTAGAGAGCCACTCCTGCCAATCCTGGGGTCGGGGAAGGGCTCCGGGGCATGAGGTGGCCTCAGTCAGACCCTGGGGGCTGCAGTGCTGGCCACAGGGCAGGGTGAGCACCCAGTGCACGTGGTCAGGGGATGCTTCTACCTGCTGGAGAGTCATCCTTCAAACTGGGGAGCAATGTAGACTTACATGATAGCGAATGGGCAGGGCTACTCAGTTAGCCCTTTGAGGGAGATGTTCAAATGCCTGGAGATATTCGGATGTCTAACAGCAGGAAGAGCGTTTTTTGGAGCACTGCTCTTGCCAAATGGGAGCGCCACCCATTTGTGTAGCTGTCCCAGAAGAAGTCTCTAAAAATGCAGCTGACCCAGTGCCTGGGACCAAAATTGGTCCCAAGTGTCCCCCCGCTCCTCCCTCTCCGGGGGTTTATATGCATCCCAGAAGAGAAGCGTCCAACCCCTCTGTAGGCTGGACGCAGTACGCGGCCGACCCTGCACTGCATTTCTTGGGGCACTTTCAATTCAGACTCACGTGTCCTGCTTAAAAGTGCTTTTTGCTACCTGCCAGGCCACTAGACTGGCAAAAATCATTTCTCCCCTCCCTTCAAGAGTGATAGTTTCCTGTTGTTAATCCAAACCATAATAAAACCTTAAATATATACTGTGAAAAATGTTATGCCTACTTAAGCAAGATAGTTGCCTGTAACAGTATGCCATAAAGCAATCTGAAATGTTTATTGTCTGTTCCCCAACCGCAGTTTTATTTCTTTTTAGCAGTTTTTGTATCTACAGAATTCTCTTCACATTGAAAGTTTCAAAAGAAGTTTTTTTTCCTTTCCACAGATACACGGTGATTATTTGCACAGCAGATCCTGCTGCCAGCACAGATATATGTATGTATTTTTTCAGAACTTCCAGTTTCCTAAATTTTTTCTAGAAGAAAAAAACACAGTTTAAATCAATAGCAAGCCTTGATATGATATGCTTTAAAGAGCAGCCCGACTTCCAAAGGAACAGATAACATAAAACAAGATCTCTTTTGTAAAGACTGAAATAGGAAATCAAGGGGAAAAAAAAAGCAAAAAGCAAAAAAAAGTTAGGGGGTGGTAAAGATGTTGCTGCTGGATCTGGCTCTAGAGACACAATGTGTATTTCATTGCCACGAATAAACTGTATCCAGGGAACAAGCAAATGAAAAAGTGAGGACAGGAGATATCTTATTTTTGTTGTTTGTTTCCAAAGAGTCCACCCCCACATAGGTCACTTGGAATTCATTTGTCTACATCCTGGCCTGCACGTAGGGGGAAAAAAAAATGCCTGGGATCTGAGAAAAAGGAATGCGATAGGGCATGGGAATCACAGCGTCACGGTGGTCACCAGAGCATATTTTGGCTCGTCTTAAAACAAGCGAGCACCGTTGGACCTCTGTAGCGCTAGCAAATCGGTCTCGCTATCAGGCTACCTATCAAGGGCTGAATGCTTGAGAAAAAGTGTGTGGGTTTT